TGATGTTGACCTTGATCACCTGGCTGACAAGTGTCGTCAGATTTCTCCACTGTAAACTTACTCTTTTTTTTTTTACCTTCTTTTCCATACTGTACTCTTTGGAAGAAAGTACTAGGGGTGGCCCATACTTACGGAGTAGGGAATTATGTTGCTCCTCATTGAAGGTGGAGCATCTATATAAATTATTTGGAATTTCTCTGCATGAGAGATTTGTCGCTTCTCCCCCATTTATTTATCATTTTTAGCCGTATAAGCACATGACTATTTATTTTATATTTGGGGTTATAATCTAATACTACTTTTAAATTTACATCTACAATTGTTCCAGCTTCAGCCATCGGGAGCTCTTTCAGTTGGCTCCTGTTTTCCTTTGACATACCCCATCCGTGTGTGTGTGTGTCTGTTTAAGCATTTCCTTCATTTCTGGCACTACAAGATGCTCCAGGCTCATCTTGTATGTTTTCACCCCAATCCTAGAATCAGCCCTTTCTCCAAGTGGTTCCTTTTACTGAAGAATGGTATTAGAAACCAAGATCTGAGCACAAAGTGTGCTCATTCCTACAATATTGAGTCTTTTAATCCATGAACACAGAGTATCTTATATTTATTTAGATCTTTATTTCCTTCATCAGAGTTTTGTAGTTTCACTCATTTAGGTACTGTACATATTTTGTTAGACTTACACCTTTCTTTTTGGTGCTAATGTTTTCTTGAATTTTAAGTTCCAATTGTTCGTTGCTAGTAGATAGGAAATCAATTGACTTTTGTATGTTAACCTTGTCACCTGTGACCTTGCTATAATCACTTATTAATTCCATGAGGGGTTTTTTGGTTGATTTTGGGGGGATGTTTTTCATAGACAATCATGTCACCTGAGAACAGTTTTACTTCTTCCTTTTATTTCCTTTTCTTCTTACTGCACTAGCTCACACTTCCAATATGATGTTAAATATATATGTGTACTGTTTATATTTCATATTCTTTTCTGAGTTGTTACTGCTCTTCAAATCTTTTTTCCAATCACTTTATTTCTGAGTTTTTCTGTTTTATGTTGTTCTATCTCCTAGCATTTAAAAAACTTCTCGTTTTGAAATAATGGGTTATAGTTTTCATCTATTTTTCTGCTTCATATTCTCTTTTTTATTATAACAGCTTTAAATAGGATTCAATTACTATTCTTTTCATGGTGTATTTTTAGGCTAAATAAGTTATTCTGTATGTGTAGACAGAAGTGGGTAGAATAGCTTTTCTAGCTTCTAGAGCTTCCTTTTCTGATGTTTTCATAAAATCCTGGTCATTTCTTAGCTCTGTCTCCTCTTCTTTTCTCCCACTTTTATCTGGACCTTTTTTCTTTGCCTCTGTTGTCCCTGTCCTGTTCAATTTGGATTCTACTCCCCAAAGTTTCTTCTTAGTGTTGGGCTTTTTTTCAGGTTCATTAAGTTTTGAGAGTTCTTGGACCCTCACACCCCATGAGCACTTCCAGACCTTCCTGTTCATACTTTTGTATTCACTCTGAAATTAGAGTCTGTCAGTTTTACTGCTAATCTCACATCGATCTCCCTTGCTTTTCAGTGAATACCTGTTGGCAGTTTGAAGTCCTCCCATTCTCATGGCCTTCAGCTGCTCTGTTGTCTTCCCACTATTTCCTCTTACACAGATGCTGATACTAAGTTGGTGGTTTGCTCCCACCTGTTCATAGTTTGAGCTTTATAAGGATTCTTTCTTGTTGTAGCCATGATTTGTTCTTGTAATTAGCGTCGTTCTGCTATCCTAGATGTTCTACCTGTTTTATGAAGAGATTCAGACTACAGTCTCCATAGTCATCTTCCTAGAGTCTTCAATAACTTAAGAGGGGGGAATAAGGTATTTTTTAAAACACTTAAACTTTTTCTATATTTTTGAAGGCAATCCAAATGCAAGTTGAAATGATTATAGGTGATAGGTTGATTTTAGATACCTTTCACATCATTTAAAAGAAATTAGGTTCTTTTTGGCTTTCTTAGCCTCAGATTAATTACCCACAAATGTAACTCTATTCCCAGACCTCCTCAACCTACTGAAGAGTACTCTCAGACTTAATAAAACATCAGAACTCGGCTTAAAATAACTTGTGATGACTGCCCTATGTTTTCAGGCCAAGCATCTTAGAGGATCTCATAATTTTATTTATTACCGTATTTTTGTGTCCTAAAATTCTGTTTTTATCTGTACTACAATCTACAGTCCAATTTAACAAACTGGCTGCCAATTGTCTGAATGTGGTCCAAGACATGTTTTGTTTAGCCTGCTCAGTACTTAAAAACAAACAAAATAGTTGCCAACACTTAATAATCAGATTTCACGTAAAAATCCAGATTTCCGGCTGCTGTTTAAAAAAATTGAGATCTGGGCTTCCCTGGTGGCGCAGTGGTTGAGAGTCCACCTGCTGATGCAGGGGACACGGGTTCGTGCCCCGGTCCGGGAAGATCCCACATGCCATGGAGCGGCTAGGCCCGTGAGCCATGGCTGCTGAGCGTGCGCATCTGGAGCCTGTGCTCCGCAGCAGGAGAGGCCACAACAGTGAGAGGCCCGTGTACCGCAAAAAAAAAAAAAAAAAAGAAAAAAAAATTAAACACGAATTTTACAAATCAATGAAAATAAGATTATTTCATATTATGATTTTTACCTTCCTGTATTTTCTGAATGCTTTCTATATCTTTGGTTAAACTGTCCATTTTTTGCTGGTACTTGGTTTGGATTGATACTAGAATCATTTTAAATTTCACACCCTATGATTATAAAGTCGAATAGCTATGTCAAAAGAAAACATTGACCCCACTGTTAAAATATGAAGGTTTTTAAAGTAACTTAACATTTTTGTTTTAAATATCTAAGGATATCAGGTATTAACGCTGAAAAATATATATAATTATTCATAAAACAGATCCCTGAGGGGCAACTGAACAGCTGCTGAAAGTTCTGGCACATCACTATGGCCAGCCTGAGTTTAATGACCTACATGTGAAGGGCTACATATCCAATTACTAATCCTCCCTCAGCTACTCGTTGGCCTGATATGGAGGCAGCTGAAAAAAGATGCCCTACTAACAGATCAGAAATGGATCCAGACTTCTCTGCCAATGCTTAGTTAAAAGATCTTTTGGACTGGAGATAATGAAGAAGCAGACATGGCTTACAACCATGTTACAGCTGACATAGTTTTTCAAGTAAAATTTGATGGTTTAAAGCAAGAGTGACTTCCGTTTTGTAACTAAATTTAGAGAAATTTCAATTCTTTAAGAAAACTCAAATTCAGAATTTAATTTTCTATTCACTGAAACCTTTAAACATGTTAAAATGTTTTCAAATATCAAGAATAATTTACTTCAGAGTTCTTTCCATACTGAGATGGCAGTCTTCTATTCATTGAGTCAAACAACATTCTTCTATTCAAATTCTGCAATAATCACCTTTTAGAAGTAGGACCAGGGACTTCCCCGGTGGTCCACTGGCTAAGACTCTGCCCTTCCACTGCAGGGTCCGAGGGTTCGATGCCTGGTTGAGGAACTAGGCTCCCACATGCAGCAAGGCGCAGCCAAAAAAATAAATAAACAAAACAAAACAAAGGAGGACCAAATTAAAAACTAAATAGAAAATGACAATCTACTGGATTATGTTTCAGCCCTCCCTCAGTTGACTTGATCTATATATAGCAAAAAGATTACATAATGTCAGGTATTATAAACAATGAAATGTCACCTGACGTTTTGCAAAATAGCATATGTAAAACCGCTCAAGAAATGAATGGAGAGTGAGACTTGCGGTTGTAAGCAAGAAAAAGCTTAACCATTCCAGGTTTACACGCATCTTATTGGGAGTTTGACTCACTTTTAAAATTTGATTTTCCATTTGAGTTGTGTAAAATCATGTGCTACTAACAACCTTCTTCTGGATTAGTTACAAATAGTTTAGGCAAGAGATGCTTTCATCTCCAACACGGAAGAATTAAGAGCCCTTCAACGGTATTTCGCACTTGTAATTTTTAAGAGTAGGAATGTCTTAACATCCCCCGCCATCCCCACAGAAATATGAGTGAATATATGTCGCAGGTATAACCTTGCCTTGAAGTGGAAAAACAGACATCACGCAACTACCTCCCACTCCAGAAACCCTAACTCCAGACCCCGCCCCACATAAAGTCCCGCCCCTTTCTCCGACTGCGGCTACGGAGTTGGCGCAGTTAGCTGACGTAAGACGTAACCTCCGTAGCCTCCTACGCGTAGCTACCGTGTCTGCCTCTGGGAGTTGAAGTTTCCGAAAGAGGACCTTCTGCAGTGGTAAAGACCACTACAAAAAGCTTTCTGTGCGGGCTCTCAGGTTCCGCGACAACTCCTCCGTTCGGTAAGTCTCTTGGCATGGACGCTATCGCTCGCCTACCCCTTGATATTATCCGAGCGCAAAAGGAGCGCGCACCACTGCTGCCTTCCACTAGCAGTAGGGCTTCCGAGGGAGAGGGGAGTGGGACACGGGAAGCAGCAACCGAGACCCAGCTTCCGAAGGAAGTGATGTCAGAGAGCGCGCCCCCTCGCCTTGCCAAACAGATTTTTGATTCGTCGGCTACAGTTTAATCCCGCCTCCGGAATGCGTCCGCCCTCGGGCGGCCTGTAGGGAAGAGTGGGGCGCGGCTCTGTCCACAAGCGTCGGGGCTGTAGCTGTCGACGTTTGCTTGCGGGTAGCGATACGGTCCCTAGCATGTGAAGGGTGTGCGCTTCCAAAGAATGAAGGGAGAGGGAAATCTGGAGTTTGAAGGGCCGGAAAACGAGTTGTGGTTCTGCCACTTGGTGGCTAGAGATCGTGAGCATGTCGCTTCACCTCTTTAAACCTGCCTTACCTCAGTTTTCCAAAGACGTCGCTGAGCGCTCTGAAATGTGGGGAGAGGCCAGGGCGAGGTTGCTGCAGGTGCTGTCAGCCCCACGGTGGTGAGCTGAGGACGATTTTAAGAAGTCCGTGGTGTTACTGGATTTCACTGAAATATTTTGTGTTAAAATTCGGGACTTTTTCTAGAGATATAAAGAGGATAGCGACAGAAGACTTTCTCACTTTATTTTTCTTTGTTTTAAATCTTGCCCCGTCTCCCCAGCCCGGCCCAGCCCAGCCCTCTCTGCCTAAGGGCCTCATAGCTGAACCGCGCTATGCACATTTGGCCCGCGCGTTTTAAAAAGGGTATTCTTTATCACCGTCAGGTCATTTAATTTCATTTTGCAGTTATTCCGACATTCATTTGGATCTTTCTGTAAGGGAGGCTGTGTCATAAATTATGAAGACTTTAGCCCAATCAATAAAACCATGAATTTTTTTTTTTTTTTTTTTAACTTTTGGCCGGTCACTCATTATGATGTATGTCCTCCTTGCCGGCAGTTGTGCTAAGAAGTGGGAATACAAGGACGATTGAGATACTATTTTTTAATGTATTTATCCCATACCAAATTGCCTTAGTCATCCTTATCCAGTTGTTAATTTTATAAGACCATCAGATAACCTGGATCTGCAACTAAATGAAACATTTTTGAAAAATTCAATGCCCCGGTAAACTAAATTTCACGCAATTATTTCTATAATTGCTACAAAATTTGTTGAACGTGGTGAATGAATGAAAATGAGCTGTGAGTATCACTGCATGTGAGGGAGGAATGCAAAACTCCATGGAGTTTATACTTTGCTTAACAGGTTAATCCAAACAAGCGAGTACATAGTGAAATGCTTATTGTATGTTGTAGGCAGTAGGAGTTGGTACGTATCTTTGTATGTAAAGTATGCTGCAAGCAATAATTTATAGGATCTCAAGCTAGCATCATTTTTGTTGTGCAATGTGCAATGTATCTAGCTTATTCAAAGCTTAAAAAAATTCTCTCACTACAGTGCATTTTCTTAATTGGGAATAACTTTAAAAATAGTAGTGATAATGATGTTGACTAGCTCATGACCTTTTGTATTTGATAGGCTGTTTAAAAACATTAGTATGCAATGATAAGCAAATTAGATTTAACTTAGACTTCTTAGATAGGAAAGGCGAAAGCTCCCCCTGGTGTGCATAAGCTGTAAAACATTGCTATACTTTTCTAAAATTTTCACATGATAAAGCAAATCAACACTTGCAGTTTGGAACAGGGTAGAGAACTAGCAAAAAATGCCACTGATAATAGAAATATTCTCTCTTAGAATATTAATCACTGTTTCATGAAGAAAGCAATTTGTTTCCTCTGAATTTTAATTGTGCCTTTAAGTTTGCACATTTAGCTTAATGGGCAGGTTTAGCTTATGTTTTCTCCACCCTATATTGGTTTGAATACATTTATTGCCCATTTTTATTAACGTACTATCTATGGAAAGGAAATAAAATTGATCCTAGGGGTCACAATATATAGTTAAATTTTTTCTTCTGATCTTTTCAGGCTTACTGTGTTTCTCCTGTCTCCTGTTCCTTAAATTGAATGCTAACCTTATTTTCCAGATTAAAAAAAAAAAAATTAGTGAATGCACTCAAGGTTATACATTTACCCTCATTTACCTTTTTGGCCTGTAGTTCTCTCATCCTGTTATTTGTATCTAAATGCTCGGACATACTATTTTTTCGTTCTATTTTTCTGTCTGAATTCTGAGTTAGATTCTGAGGATGTCTTCTAATTCATCAGTTACCTCTTGGACTCCAGGTAATCTGGAGTTTGTCTCATACGTTGAAATTTTTATATCTTCATTTCCTGGTTTCCAAATTGGTTCTTTTTTACACATTCTTGTTTTCCTATTTTTATGCCTGCTTTTGTGTCCCAATTTCCTGTTTTGTTTTTATGGTTATTACTCTTCATGAGCTCTGAAAGATTTCAGCCAAACTTATTTTAAAGTCATTTTCACATTGCTCTATTCAATTTTTATAGAGTGAATTTATCTCCTGCTTGTTGATTTGGCTGGAGTTTTTTTTCATCATTTCTGTCTTTTTGTAATTTTGCTTTGCAGACTCATCTTGAATGGAATTATAACTTTCCTCTCCAAACTACTGATTTTGTGGTTTCTCCCACCCATGACCCTTTTCAGTGCTTCAGCCCACAGCAGAGCTTATATATGTGGTTCAGAATTCTAATCATGTAATAATATAAGTTCATATGTCACCTCATGCTGGACCCAGACCCAAGAGGCTGTGTCTGTTTCCTTCAGGTTTCCCCCAAGTAGTCAGTTTTGTATAAGCTATAGTCTATAATTTTATCTGTTTTCAGGCTTTTTTCATGGAAAGAGGAGCCCCACCCCTAACACTAGTTTAAGGGTTCGTCTTAAACTGTCTCCCATCTTTCTCTCTCTTGTATTCTTCTTCTCTTTACTTTAAAGCTAGGAAAACTTCTAGCTGCCTTTACACAGAAGACCCAGTTCTTAACCTGGATTTTGAGAGAGGCTGTACCTTTTTTGTTTCCCCCTTTTTATATTTTATCTACTGTTGTCATATGTTTCAAGACTGGGAGTCAGAGTGCATCAAAACATGAACTTTTGGCAATGATCTCTAGGAAGTCTGTCCCAATTTTTTTGGTGCAGAGGCATAAGAATAGAACTGGAGCTATTTTTTTCTCCTTATGTTTCAGTGACACAGGTCTTTTCAGAGCCCTCCAACAGCAGGGTTAAAGCAACACAACTCTTTAACATTCTTTGGAAACCCTCATTTTCTAAATAAGACTTTGGATTTCTGGGAGATGGTAGAGTTTGATGTGGGTTGGAATCTTAGCTCCATCACTTCATTTGTCTATTCATTCAAGTATTTTGAGGACCTACTTTGTGTGACATTTGCTCTAGGTGCCTTGTTTCTTAGGAATTATTTAATAGCTTTCTAACTTTGGGCAAGTTCTTTAACCTTTGTACCTCTTCCTTTGCAAAGTAGGTATATACTATCTACTTCATAGGGTTTTTATGAAGAGTAAATTAGATAATATTTTTTATTAAGCATAATAAGAATTAATGTTTGCTCTATTTTCATTACTTTAAAAAGTCCTTTGTAATATCATATTCACTCATTTGTTTACTCTACCAGTGTATAATAAGCATCTACGAAGTGCCAAGCACTGTATTAGTATTGGCAATATAATGTTGGGCAAAATCAGACTTATCCCTTACCCAGTGGAGTTTCCAGTGTAGAGTCAAAGTTGAGTTGTTATTTCTAGGAGATGTTCTCCCTAAGGAGAATTGTTTGGTTGGTGGCGTAAGGAAAACTTGTGAATTCTTACTTGTATTACTAAATGATTTTTTTCCACTCTTAGTAATTTTGTGACCTAGTAAAATGCCAGGGCTTTTGCTCCAGCCCCTAAAGCACGCATCTTAAAATTTCTTGTCTTTCAGTCAAAATTCAGTAAACTTTCTAAGTTTGCTTTGGTTATCCCCATATGTCCTGTTATATCATTGCACTTTTAAAGAAAGCAAGAACCATATAATAAAACTACTGCTGAAATTATGTTCTGCAAAGGTTTTTTCCTTCCATTATCTGAATTGTGGGGATTGTTCTTTTTTCTTTTAGATGTTAGCTTCTCTGCACAGACTTGTTAGCTATCTCTGTAAGAGGGAAGAATCACGTATTTTTCTATAAGGCCAATAGAACATTTGCAAGCTTCATGCTTAGTCTTTGGTAGGGATAAATAACATACATTCTTAAGCTTTGATGTTAAGAATCAATTAAAGAGAAAAGATATCTCGTATTTCTAGCCCTTTCTGTAATCTGAAAGCAAGTTCAGTTTTAGGCAATGGATATGAAGATGTGGGTGTTTAAATCCAAATAAAGATGTTTGACTTGGCCCTAAGTATTCCACAGCTGATTACAGAGTCAACTTATGTATTTTGTTTTTCAGCTGTGACTTAAGTGGAAAATTGACAATTACATATTTACAATGAAATATATTGGGGTGGGGGCAACCAAAGTTGTTCTCTGCACTGGCCAAAAGATAGAAATATATAGCATGTCTGTTGTCAAAACCCAATTGTTGAGGGTACGCCCAGATAGTGAAAGTAATATTTTTCTTGTATGGACAGCATTAAAGAAAAGTACAAAAAGGTGTCTTCCATCTCTTTTAAAAAATAGTATATATTTTTTATAAAACTATATTTTCATTATATAAAATTTTAAAAATGCAGAAAGCCATGGGTGGGTCAGAATTAAAACGTGTGTATGTATTTTTTAAAACAAAATTGGACATTATTGTTTTTTGCTTTGATTTTCTCATTTAACATAACCATTTCCCTTTATCATTAAATAATTTTGGGAAACATGATTTTTCTTGGCTGCTTAGTATTCCAAGCCAGTGTTATCGATGACCTTTAATTTATTTTTAGTCCCCATTTGCTGACATTCAAGTAGTTTCTAATTTTTTATTGTTAAAAATAACAACAGTACATATATCCTTTTGCATTAATTTTGTGTGTATTTCTAATTAATTTACAGGAATTTATTCTAAGGAAATAAATTACTATGTGAAAGAGTATCACCACCATTTTAAAGCTCTTCAAACATTATAGGTCTGAGTAATTTTCTGGAAAAATTGTGCCATGGCCACCAGTACTGTATGAAAATATCCCATTTCATCAAATGATCTTTGCCAGTAAATGACAATTAATTGCCCAAATTTGCATTTTTATTCATTACTAATATGGTTTAATTTTAATCACATCCTTCAGTTTTTTTTCTTACTTTTTTTGTGTTTGTAAGTCATCTGTTCATTTCAAAGTTGCTTTTCAATTTTTCAGAGGCATCAAATAATGTCATCTGAAATATTGCCAGCATTTAGTGAGACTTCTAATGTTGAAAGAAAGCAAGACTTAAATGAAGACCAAGAGGAGAATCAGAAACCAGGATTAGGTGAAGGGTTTGAACCAATATCTAAACGGCAAATGAAGAAGCTAATGAAACAGAAACAATGGGAAGAACAAAGAGAACTCCGCAAGTATGTATCAGAATGCATGTATTCTACCCCTATTCACTGGGGTATATTCCAATATACCCCTATTGGAATGTTGGACCTTGCAATAGCCCTTTGACATATTAAAAATAATTGTGTTAATTAAAATTCGCGTCTACATATTGTTAGCTAACATTGTCAATTGGCTACTAAAACTGAATGTGTTTTATTTTTTTAGCAGTGTTGATGAATTTACACTGTACACTTTTCTCACCCAGAACCTATTGTGAGTAGGAGCACAATTTCTAAAATAACTGATTTACAAAAGGGATATAGTTAGCATCCATGTCCTAGATATGGAACAAAAATAACCACCTCAGAAAGATCAAATTTGGGCCTAACATTGATTTTGCTAGAAGAACTATTGCAGGTTTTGGTGAGAGCAGTTATGCTGAAGCTGTCACTGTATAAAGACAGAATTTACTAGAAGAAAATATTGTTGATGCAGATGAGAGAAAAAAATATGACTTTTATTTCACAAACAGTTTTACTTTTAAATAGGAATAGTTTTCAAAAAACCATTTTATTTTTATTGAGGTATAGTTAATTTACAACGTTGTGTTAGCTTCAGGTGTACAGCGAAGTGATTCAGTTATATATATATGTATAAGTATGTACATGTATATATATTCTTTTTCAGATTCTTTTCCATTATAGGTTATTACAAGACACAGAACATAGTGTCTTGTAATAACCCTACACTATACAGTAGGTCCTTGTTTATTTTATACATAGGTAGTATGTATATGTTAATCCCAAACTCCTAATTTATCTCCCCACTCCCCTGCTATCCACTCTCATAACCATAAGTTTGTTTTCTATGTCTCTGAGTCTACTTCTGTTTTGTAAATAAGTTCATTTATGTCATTTTTTTAGATTCCACATATAACTGATATCATAAGATATTTGCCTTTCTCTGACTCACTTCACTTAATATCATAATCTCTAGGTCCATCCATGTTGCTGCAAATGGCAATATTTCATTCTTGTTTATAGCTGAGTAATTTTCCATTGTATATATATACCACATCTTCTTTATCCATTCATCTGTCGATGAACATCTAGGTTGCTTCTGTGTCTTGGCTATTGTAAATAGTGCTGCTATGAACATTGAGGTGCATGTATCTTTTCGAATTAGAGCTTCCTCCAGATATGTGCCCAGGAATGGGATTGCTGGACCATATGGTAACACTATTTTTAGTTTTTTAAGGAGCCCCATACTGTTTTCCATAGTAGCTACACCAATTTACATTCCCACCAACAGTGTAAGAGAGTTTCCTTTTCTCCACACCCTCTCCAGCTTTTGTTTTTTGTAGACTTCTTAATGATGGCCATTCTAACTGGTGTAGGGTGATACCTCATTGTAGTTTTGATTTGCATTTCTCTAATAATGAGAAGCACTGAGCTTCTCTAATAATGCTTCTCTAATAATGAGAAGCACTGAGCTTCTTTTCCTGTGCCTCTTGGCCGTTGCGGACCACAGGCTCCAGATGCGCAGGCTCAGCGGCCATGGCTCACGGGCCCAGCCACTCTGCGGCATGTGGAATCTTCCCAGACCGGGGCACAAACCCGTGTCCCCTGCATCGGCAGGCGGACTTTCAACCACTGCGCCACCAGGGAAGCCCCTGTCCATTTTTTGATTGGGTTGTTTGGTTTTTTTTGATATTAAGCTGTATGAGCTTTTTGTTTATTTTGGAAATTAATCCCTTGTCAGTTGCATCATTTGAAAATATTTTCTCCCACTCCATAAGTTATCTTTTTATTTTGTTGATGGTTTCCTTTGCTGTGCAAAAGTTAGGTCCCATTTGTTTATTTTTGTTTTTATTTCCATTACTTGAGGAGATGGATCCAAAAAAAATATTCCTTCTATTTATATCAGAGTGTTTTGCCTGTATTTTCCTCTGGAAGTTTTATAGTATCTGGTCTTACATTTAGGTATTTAATCCATTTTGAATTTATTTTTGTATATGGTGTTAGAGAATGTTCTAATTTCATTCTTTTCCATGTAGCTGTCCAGTTTTCCCAGCACCACTTATTGAAGAGACCATCTTTTCTCCATTGTATATTCTTGCCATCTTTGTCATAGATTAGGTGACCATAGGTGCATGGGTTTATCTCTGGACTTTCTATCCTGTTCCATTAATCTATATTTTTATTTTTGTGCCAGTACCGTACTGTTTTCATGACTGTAGTTTTGTAGTATAGTCTGAAGTCAGTGAGGATGATTCCTCCAGCTTCATTCTTTTTTCTCAAGATTATTTTGGCTATTCAGGGTCTTTTGTGTTTCCATACAAATTAAAACAATTTTTTTCTAGTTCTGTGAAAAATGCCATTGATAATTTGATAAGGATTGCACTGAATCTGTAGATTGCTTGGGTAGTATGGTCATTTTAACAATATTGATTCTTCCAATCCAAGAATGAGGTATCTTTGCATCTGTTTGTGTCATCTTCAGTTTCTTTCATCAGTGTCTTAGAGTTTTCAGAGTACAGGTCTTTTGCCTCCTTAGGTAGGTTTATTCCTAGGTATTTTATTCTTTTTGATGAGATGGTAAATGGGATTGTTTCCTTAATTTCTCTTTCTGATATTTCATTCTTAGTGTATAGAAATGCAACAGATTTCTGTGTATTAATTTTGTATCCTGCAACTTTACTGAATTCATTGTTGAGCTTTAGTAGTTTTCTGGTAGCACTTTAGGATTTTCTATGGATACAGAATTATGTCATCTGCAAAGAGTGACAGTTTTACTTGTTCTTTTCCAATTTGGATTCCTTTTATTTCTTTCTTTTTCTTTCTGCCTCCCGTGGCTTCGACTTCCAAAACTATATTGGATAAAAATTTTACTTCTTTTTATATGGTTATAAATGTAACTCAAAAATCATGTAGGAGAAGAATGATAAAAGTAAAATTTATCATAACTCTCAAACTCAGTATTTTAAAAGTTTTGTAAGTATGTTTAACGTGCTACCAATAGTAAATAAAATTATTAGTATAGTTCGAATTTGTGTAAAAAGTACTATACTGTTTTTGCAAACTCATTTATTATGTAAAGCTTTTAGATAGATTATATATAATTGCTGATATCTGACTTTTTTTTTTTTTTTTTTTTGCGGTACGCGGGCCTCTCACTGTTGCGGCCTCTCCCGTTGCGGAGCACAGGCTCCGGACGTGCAGGCCCAGCGGCCATGGCTCACGGGCCCAGCCACTCTGCGGCATGTGGGATCCTCCCAGACCGGGGCATGAACCCATGTCCCCTGCATTGGCAGGCGGACTCTCAACCACTGCGCCACCAGGGAAGCCCTCTGACAATTTTTGATCCATGGAAGTGGCAATTTTGTTATGGTTTAGTCTGCTAATTTTTAAAAGTAATTGTTTCTTTGTCTATTTAGAAAAGTATTGTAAATGTATGAATATACAAATAACAAAAAGTTATTTTCAATTACTAATTTTAGACAAAAGAGGAAGGAAAAACGCAAGAGAAAGCAATTAGAGCGACAGTGTCAACTGGAATCAAACTCAGAAGGAAGTGACAGAAAACGTATTCGAAGAGACGTTGTTTACAGCCCACTCCGCCTTATCATTGACTGCAGTTTTGATAGCTTGATGGTATTAAAGGTATCATGAATCATTGTCAGAAAAATCCTGTAACTGAACTAGGCTGAATAATTTTTGCTTTAATATGTAATATGACTTTGATATAACTTTATGTACTAAAATGCATCTCTTTTTTTCTTTTTAATTGTGGTAAAATGCATGTAATGTAAAATTTACCATCTTAACCATTTTTAAGTGGACAGTTCAGTAGTGCTAATTACATTCATGTTGTTGTGCAGCCAGTCTCCAGAAGTCTTTTCATCTTGAAAAACTAAAACTCTATCCCCACTGAATGAACAACCATTTCCATTCCCCCTCCCTCAGCCCTTGGCAACACCATTCTACTTTCTGTCTCTATGAATTTGACTACTCGGTGTACCTTATGTAAGTGGAATCCTACAGTATTTGTCCTTTTGTGACTGGTTTATTTCACTGAGCATTATGTCTTGAAGGTTTACCCACATTGTAGTGTGTGTCAGAATTCCCTTATGTTTTAAGGCAGAATAATATTCTAGTGTATGTATAGACCACGTTTTGTTTATTCATTCATCTGGTGTCCATCAACATTTGTGTTGCTTCCACCTCTTGGCTATTTTGTTCTTTTTGTGTGTGTGTCTAAAATTTATTTTATTGAAGTATAGTTGATTTACAGTGCTGTCTTAGTTTCTGCTGGGCAGTGAAGTGACTCAGTTATACATTTATACATATTCTTTTTCATATTCTTTTCCATTATGGTTTATTACAGGATATTGAATATTGTTCCCTGTGCTATACAGTAGGACTTTGTTGTTTATCCATTCTATGTATAATAGTTTGCATCTGCTAATCCCAGACCCCCAATCCATCTGTCCCCCACCGCTCCTCCCCTTTGGCAACCAAAAGTCTGTTCTCTGTGTCTGTGAGTCTGTTTCTGTTTCATGGATAAGTTCATTTATGTCATATTTTTAGATTCTGCATGTAAGTGACATCATACAGTGTTTGTCTTTCTCTCTCTGACTAACTTCACTTAGTATGATAATCTCTAAGTCCATCCATGTTGCTGCAAATGGCATTATTTCATTCTTTTTTATGGCTATAATCTCTAAGTCCATCCATGTTGCTGCAAATGGCATTATTTCATTCTTTTTTATGGCTAAGTAGTATTCCATTGTATAAATATATCACATCTTCTTTATCTGTTCACCTGTTGATGGACATTTAGGTTGCTTCCATGTCTTGGCTGTTGTAAATAGTGCTGCTATGAACATAGGGTGCATGTTTTGTTTCGAATTATAGTTTTCTCTGGATATATGCCCAGGAATGGGACTGCTGGATCATATGGCAACTCTATTTTTAGTTTTTTGAGGAACCTCCATACTGTTCTCCATAGTGGCTGTACCAATTTACATTCCCACCAACAGTATAGGAGGGTTCCCTTTTCTCCACACCCTCTCCAGCATTTATTATTTGTAGATTTTTTGATGATGGCTATTCTGACTGATGTGAGGTGATATCTCACTGTAGTTTTGATTTGCATTTCTCTAATAATTAGCGATATTGAGCATCTTTTCATGTGCTTTTTAGCCATCTGTATGTCTTTGGAGAAATGTCTGTTTAGGTCTTCTGCCCATTTTTTGATTGGGTTTTTTTTTATATTAAGGTGTATGAGCTTTTTGTTTATGTTGGAAATTAAGCCCTGGTTGGTCGCATCATTTGCAAATATTTTCTCCCAGTCCATACATTGTATTTTCATTTTCTTCATGGCATCCTTTGCTGTGCAAAAGGTTATAAGTTTGATTAGGTCTCAATTGTTTATTTTCACTTTTATTTCTATTGCCTTGGGAGACTGACCTAAGAAAACATAGGTAGGATTTATGTCACAGAATGTTTTGCCTATATTCTCTTCTAAGAGTTTTATGATGTCATGTTTTGTATTTAAGTCTCTAAGACATTTTGAGTTTATTTTTGTGTATGGTGTGAGGGTGTGTTCTAACTTCACTGATTTACATGCAGCTGTACAACTTTCCCAGCACCACTTGGTGAAAAGACTTTGTTTTCCCATTGTATATTTTTGCCTCCTTTGTTGAAGATTAATTGACCATAGTTGCATGGGTTTATTTCTGGGCTCTCTATTCTGTTCCAGTGACCCATATGTCTGTTTTTGTGCCACTACCAAACTGTTTTGATTACTCTAGTTTTGTAGTATTGTCTGAAGTCTGGGAGGGTTATGCTTCCAGTTTTGTTCTTTTCCTCAGGATTGCTTTGCAAATTCTGGATCTTTTATGGTTCCATATAAATTTTAGGATTATTTGTTCTAGTTCTGTGAAAAATATCATGGGTGATTTGATAGGGATCACATTAAGTCTGTAGATTGCTTTGGGTAGTATAGCCATTTTAACAATATTAATTCTTCCAAGCCAAGAGCATGGGATATCTTTCCATTTCTTTGAATCATCTTCAGTTTCCTCAGTTTCCTTTATTGATGTTTTATAGTTCTCAGCATATAAGTTTTTTACTTCCTTGGTCAGGTTTATTCCTAAGTATTTTTTTTTTTGGTTGCAATTTTAAAAGGGATTCTGTTTTTACATTCCCTTTCTGAAATTTATGGTTAATGTAAAGAAATGCAACTGATTTCTGTATGTTAATCTTGTATCCTGCTACCTTGCTGAATTCATTTATCAGTTCTAGTAGATTTTGTGTGGAGTCTTTAGGGTTTTCTATATATAGTATCATGTCATCTGAATATAATGACAATTTTATCTCTTCCTTTCCAATTTGGATACCTTTTATTTTTTTTGTCTGATTGCTGTGGCTAGGATTTCCAATACTATGTTGAATAGAAGTGATGAGAGTGGGCATCCTTGTCTTCTTCCAGTTTGTAGCAGGAAGGCTTTCAGCTTTTCACCAGTGAGTATTATATTGGCTGTGGGTTTGTCATAAATAGCTTTCATTATGTTGAAATATGTTCCCTCTATACTCACTTTCATAAGAGTTTTTATCATGAATGGATGTTGAATTTTATCAAATGCTTTTTCTGCATCTATTGAGATATCATGTGTTTTTTGTCTTTTCTTTTGTTGGTGTGGTGTATCATATTGATTGATTTGCATATGTTGAACCATCCTTGTGACCCTGGGATGAATCCCACTTGGTTATGGTGTATGATCTTTTTTATGTGTTCTTGGATTCAGTTTGCTAATATTTTGTTGAGAATTGTTGCATCTATTTTCATCAGAGATACTGGCCTGTAATTTTCTTGTTATGGTTTGTCTGGTTTTGGTATCAGGGTGAAAATGGCTTCACAGAGTGTCTTTGGGAATGTTCCCTCCTCTTCAGGCTTTTGAAAGAGTTTGAGAAGGATTGATATAAGTTCTTCCTTGTATGTTTGGTTGTTATTTAAGTCTAACTGTTCTATTTTATCATTTATGATATCTGTTGCCTTACTGATTTTCTGTCTAGAAGATCTGTCCATTGCTGTGAGTAGGGTGTTAAAGTCTCCTACTATTACTGTTTTCCCATCAGTTTCTCCCTTAATGTCCATTAGTATTTATTTTATGTATTTGGGTGCTCCTATGTTGGGTGCATATATGTTGAGGAATGTAATATCATCTTCTTATATTGATCCTCTCATCATTGTATAGTGTCCTTCTTTATCTTTCTTTATGACCTTTGTTTTAAAGTCTATTTTGTCTGATATGAGTATTGCAACCCCCACTTTCTTGTCATTTCCGTTTGTATGAAATATCTTTCTCTATCCCCTCACATCAGTCTTTTTGTGTCTTTTGCCCTAAAGTGGGTCTCTTGTACGCAGCATATTGTAGGCGCTTGCTTTTTTATCCAATCTGCCACTTTAGGTCTTTTGATAGGAGCACATTGACATTTGAGGTAATTATTGATAGGTATGTATTTATTGCCATTTTAAACCTTGTTTTCCACTTGATTTTGTATTTCTTCTTTGTTTATTTTTCCTTTTTGTATTTCCTTTTGTGATGTGATTTTTTTTTTGTATTATGCTTGTGTTCTTTTTGTTTTCTTGTGAATCTGTTTTTGATTTGTGGTTACCCTGTTGTTCAAGTATGTTAACCCCTTCCTATATCTACTGCCTTTAAACTGGTAGTCATATAGGCTAAAACACATTAAAAAAAAAAACCTACATTTTGTTACTCTCCTCCCCCACATTTTATGATTTCGATGTCCTCTTACATATTCATGTTCATCCTTTTGCTGTTTATTGTGGTTATCTTGCTTTCACAGAAATTTTTTCTTTCTTTCTTTTTTTTTTTAATCTGTATACTGGCTTATTTAAGTGATTTACTTTCCAATTGTGATTTTTCTCTTTCGTATAGATTCTTACTTCTCTATTTAGACAAGACCTTTTAATATTTCTTTAAGGATATATTTAGTATTGCTTTTTTCTTTTAGTTTTTGCTTGTCTGAGAAATTCTTTCTCTCTCTTTCTATTCTAAATGATAATCTTGCTGGGTAGAGTATCCTAGGTTGCAGATTTTTCCCTTTCAGGACTTTGAATATATCTTGCCATTCCCTTCTGGCCTGGAACATATTTGTAGAGAAATCAGCTGATAGCCTAATGGGGGTTCCCTTGTAATTAACTTTTTTTTTCTCTTGCTGCCTTTAGAATACTTTCTTTATCTTTTACTTTTGCCATTTTTTAATTATAATACGTCTTGGTGTAAGTCTGTTCGGGTTTGTTTGGGACACTCTGTGCTTCCTGTATCTGTATAACTGTTTACTTCTTTAGGTTTGGGGAGTTTTCAGCCATAATTCCTTCAAATACATTTTCGATTCCCTTTTCTCTTTCTTCTCCTTCTGGGATCCCTATTATGTGTAGATTGGCCTGCTTTATTTTACCCCATACATCTTATATTGCTTTAATTTTTTTCACTTGGCTTTCTGTTTGCTGTTCTGATTGTGTGATTTCCATTAGTCTGTCTTCCACATCGCTTATTTGTTCTTCTGCATTATTCAATTTGCTGTTCGTTGACTTTAGCTCAGCTTTTGTCTCAGCAAATGAGTTTTCTAATTTTTCTTGTCTCCTGTTTATATTTCCTAGTTCCTTTTCCTGGTAATCTGCATTTCTGTCAATAGCCTTTCTTACTTCCTTCAGTATTTTCATTATCTCCTTTTTGAACTTGATGTCTGTTAGACTGAAGGAGTCTGTTTCATTGTCTTTGATTGGCAATTTCTTGATCTTTTCATTGGGAGTGGTTCCTCTGTTTTCTTCATTTTACTTATAGTTCTCTTACTCTATGAGTTTAGGAGAAACAATTGTTTCCTAAATAGTTGGAGATATTTTTATGTGGGAATGTCCCTGTGTAGCCTGCATGGGTTTAATATTTTTGGTGAGAGAGCTGTTTTTTGTATGGATACCTGCTGTTGTCTCCTCGATAGGGGGTGTGACTGGGGTTGTGGTGGCCAGAGCCTGCACTGAATATTGAGCAGGGCCTCCTCTTTGCTCTGTGGTTGTCACAGCCCTATTGGAGGCAAGGTCTATTCCCCAGTTGTTGGAGTAGAAGCCCCCAGATCCATTTCTGAGCTGTAGTGTGAGGTAAGCAGTATTGGAGCACTCCCACTGGGAGAGGAGCCACTGAGTATTCCTCTGCCAGAGCTGTCCGCTGAGAAGTGTGCTCTGTCGTGTCATCTGTCACCCGTTGTGCAGGCTCACAAAGTACACTGTTATGGGCACTGCCCTCAGCCTCACCTCAACCATGGGAATGCAGGCAATTGGCCCTGTTGTTCCTCGGGTGCTGGGTTCACAAAGCCACCAGCGCAGATCCACTGAATTCAGGTACCAGGACCGCAGTAGTTGCATACCTGAACCTGCCGTGGGAGCTATGGATGGAGCCCAGACCCTGGCCCAACTCCATATGCACACACCCACAAAGCCCACAGCTGCTAAGGCCAGACCCGCCCCAGCCATGGGAGCACCTGTAGCCCACTTGGATGTTCCGCAGGAACTGAGTTTACAAAGCTGGCAGCAGTGGCCTAAACCCACAGATCGCACAGCCACAGGGAGAGGGCTCAGATATCAGCCCTGCTTCGTAAGTCACACGGCCCCTGGGGATCAGCTCTGATTTCAGCCCCGCCTCTGTGTATGGACAACTTGCTGGCACTGCGTGCTCCCAGAGCTCGTGGAGGCAGCACTGAGCCTGATGAGAGCTCACTGAGAAAGAAGGAGCTTTAGCAGGCACTGCCCCTTAACAGTGGGGTTTCAGTGGCAGCAGCACACCTGCTGTGAGTGCACCAAGAGTGAGGCTGCTATGGCGGACCCTGCCCTTCCCTTTGTGCACCCCTTAACAATGGTGCTTCACTTCTGTGGCAGGCCCGAGCCACAGTCCAGCCCCTTCAGGCTGTCTCCGTGCAGCCAACCCCAGTCCTCTCCCTGGGTCTGTCCTCTGAAACCCAAGCTTTAAAGCAAAAGCAGATCTCAGACTGGGGAGTGCAGGGCGATGGCAGGGACCATTTGTGCAGGTCTCCGTCTGTTCTGCCTGCTGCAAACCAGCTGCTGTGCTCTCCTCTGAGCCTCTGAAGCTCCCTTTCTGTCCCAGCTGATCTCCCTGCCAGTGAAGGGGCTTCCCCGGGTGCAGGAACCTTTCCTCTTTCACTGTTCCCACCCAGGGGCTCAAGTCTTGTCCCGATTCCTTTTTTTTCTTTCATCCTACCCAGTTACATGGAGATCTTTCCTGCAGTTTTGGGTGTCTGAGATCTGCCGGTGTTCAGCAGGTATTCTGTGAGAATTGTTCCACATGTAGACGTATTTTTGATGTATTTGTGGGAGGAGGTGAGCTCTGTGTCCTTCTATTTTGCGATCTCGATTGGAGCCCTCTAAAATGCATCTTTCTTTAAAATTTTTTGTTGGAGTATAGTTGATTTATAATGTTGTGTTAGTTTTGGGTGTAAGCAAAGTAAATCAGTTATACATATACATACATGCACTCTTTTTCAGATTCTTTTCCCATATAAGCCATTACACAGTATTGACTAGAGTTCTCTGTGCTATACAGTTCATCCTTATTAGTTATCTATTTTATGTATAGTAGTGTGTATATGTCAGTCTCAGTCTTCCAATTTACCCCTCCCCCACCTTACCCTCTGGTAACCATAAGTTTGTTTTCTACATCTGTAACTCTATTTATGTTTTGTAGATAAGTTCACGTGTACCCTTTTTTTAGATTCCACATATAAGCGATATCATATGATATGTATCTTTCTCTGTCTGACTTACTTCACTCAGTATGACAAACTCTAGGTGCATCCATGTTGCTGCAAATGGCATTATTTTATTCTTTTTTATGGCTCAGTATTATTTTATTGTATATATGTACCACATTTTCTTTATTCATTCCTCTGTCAGTGGACATTTAGGTTGCTTCCATGACCTGGCTATTGTAAATAGTGCTGCAATGAACATTGGAGTGCATGTATCTTTTTGAATTATGGTTTTCTCCAGATATATGCCCAGGAATGGGATTCCTGGATCATATGGGAGCTCTATTTTTATTTTTTTAAGGAACATACATACTGTTCTCCATAGTGGCTATACCAGTTTACATTCCCACCAACAGTGCAGGAGGATTCCCTTTTCTCCACATCCTCTCCAGGATGTATTGTTTGTAGATTTTTTAATGATGGCCATTCTGACTGGTGTAAGGTGATACCTCAGTATACTTTTGATTTGAATTCCTCTAATAATTAGTGATGTTGAGCATCTCTTCATGTGCTTTTTAGTCATCTGTATGTCTTTGGAGAAATGTCTATTTAGGTCTTCTTCCCAATTTTTTGATTGGGTTGTTTGTTTTTCTGATATTGAGCTGCATGAGCTGTTTGTATATATTAGAGATTAATCCCTTGTCAGTTGCTTCATTTGCAAATATTTTCTCCTGTTCTGAGGGTTGTCTTTTCATTGTTTATGGTTTCCTTTGCTGTGCAAAAGCTTTGAAGTTTAATTAAACTTAAAAGGTTAAGTTTTAATTAAACTTTAAGCTTAATTAAACTTAAAAAGGTCCCACTCGGACTTCCCTGGTGGTCCAGTGGTTAAGACTCCACAGTTCCAATGCAGGGGGGCGTGGGTTTGATCCCTGATTGGGGAACTAAGATCCCATGTGCATGGCCAAAAAAAAAAAAAAACTGAAAAGAAAAACAATAATTTGTTTGATTTTTGGTTTTATTTTCATTAGGAGGTGCATTGAAAAAGATCTTGCTGCGATTTATGTCAAAGAGTGTTCTGCCTATGTTTTCCTCTAAGAGTTTTATAGTCTCCAGCCTTACATTTAGGTCTTTAATCCATTTTGAGTTTATTTTTGTGTATGGTGTTAGGGCGTGTTCTAATTTCATTCTTTTACATATAGCTGTCCAGTTTTCCCAGCACCACTTATTAAAGAGACTGTCTTTTCTCCATTGTATATTCTTGCCTCCTTTAGGTGACCATAGGTGCATGGGTTTATCTCTGGACTTTCTATCCTTTTCCATTGATCTATATTTCTGTTTTTGTGCTAGTACCATACTGTTTTCGTGACTGTAGCTTTGTAGTATAGTCTGAAGTCAGGGAGCCTGATTCCTCCAGCTGCGTTTTTCTTTCTCAAGATTGCTTTGGCTACTCAGTCTTTTGTGTTTCCATACAAATTTAAAAATTTTTTGTTCTAATTCTGTGAAAAATGCCATTGGTAATTTGATAGGGATTGCATTGAATCTGTAGATTGCTTTAGGTACTATAGTAATTTTGACAATATTAACTCTTCCAATCCAAGAACATGGAATATCTTAGATCTCTCTCCATATGTTTGATTTCTTTCATCAGTATCTTACAGTTTTCTGAGTACAGGTCTTTTGCCTCCTTAGGTAGGTTTATTCCTAAGTATTTTTATTCTTTTTGATGTGATGATAAATGGGATTGTTTCCTTGATTTCTCTTTCTGACCTTCTGTTGTTAGTGTGCAGGAATGTGTACTCCACCCAGCAAAGCTCTCATTCGTATTAGATGGAGAAATCGAAAGCTTTATGCAAAAGCGAAGGGAAATCAGCACCACCAAACCAGCTTTAAAATGCATCTTAAAATTAAGTTTTTCAAAATCTGTTACCCTAAATTAAAGTAGCTAATAAGTTGCTTTTATTTATATGTATATGTATAGACAGAGGGAAAGACAGATACTCTAAGAGATTATGAAACTCAGTAATTGCATATTAATCATAAAGAGCTGTGGGGAGTTTGTTATTTATCCTAATCAAAAGGAAGAAAATAAGAAATATGATTGGCTTAATAGAATTATTTCTTATTTAATAGTTTGAGAAACCTGGTTGTTTAAACAATGCTACTAAAAGGAATATGTTTATAACCTTTGGTAGTTATAAAAATTGTAATAGCATGACTATAAGAGAGGTCTTTTTTTCTTTTGTTGTCTCTTAAGAAGAGTGAAAGTTTTCCTGAACTTGCATTTTAAGTGGCTACAAAATGTGAAATAATGGGTCACTTATAGAGTATTGACTTATGGTAATTATTTTATTAGTATGTAAGAAAACTGAATGGAAATTATCAGAAAGGACTTGTATTTCAAAAGAAAGGATGTCCCTATCTAGTCATCCCTTCTGCTTATTCTATTCCACTCGGATTGTGGAATGGCCATAGATAATTTTGAAAATATTGCTTTAAAAATTTCACTCTTTTATAGGACATTAAGAAACTTCATAAGCAGATTCAACGATGTTATGCAGAAAATCGACGAGCACTGCATCCTGTGCAGGTATGTTTGGGGAATTTAAAACAAACTTCCAATTTCCTTTTATATCTTCCTTCGGAAAAGGCATAGGTAATCCTCGTTGCTTTTATAAGAAAGAGTCTTACAAGTAATCTTTCTTAGAGAACAAAACGCCTATTTGTAAAAATGTTTTATTTTTCTACAAAAATAAAATATTTTAAACATTTTTTCATGTCATTCTCAAACACATTGTGCCCATTCATCATTAGTCATATACACACTGACCTGTTCACTGTTGTGTAGTTGAACATCTTCTTTAAAGGACTTATGCATATTTCCATACCAGTTTCTCAGCTCTCAATTCCTTCCTTTCTGGGGAATGGGGTAACTGCCCCTGGCTGATATGTGCCATTGTGTCTGTTGGCTAGATTTTTTCTACTTAAAGGATATTGAGTCACTAATAATTTTGAAAGGTACCTTATTAGCTAGAATGAGGAAGTGATTTGTGAGACTAGTTGGCTGCTCTTAAGAGTAGGGTCATTTTTCTTACTGAATTTGTTTGAATTCTAGGTGACCTAAAAATTAATTCTGGCTCACTGATGTTAAAAACCAGAAACTCTTAATATACTTTTGGTTAGATATTTTCTTCTTATCAAGTGATAGTAATATTATATTTTTACATTCTATATTCTTCTCACCCTTGATTAGATTTGAAATAGGTTTCAGGGTTTAGAGTCAAAGCAAAATTATGAAGATTTTGGACTGGTAAAAAATAACTGTAGTGGCAAAAGAAGGGGAAGGGAATCTTCACATGGAAGCAGGAAGTTTATAGTAAAGTGATCATTAAACAAGAGGCAGATTATAACTGCTTAGAAAACAGGATGAAAATGTAGATGGAATACAGAAGTTAGTGGGTTAGGAGATACACAAAAATACACGTTGCTTGTACCACAAATTTATTCTTGCACGTTTAAAGCATGCCATAAATTCATTTTTTTCCAGAATGAAAATATTTTGTCTTTCATTGATAATCAGATGAGTGTATGAGGGAATAAAATATTGACTTTAATAGTCATTTGCTCTCTCTTTCTATACCTGCCAATCTCTCTATCAGTTTTACTTGACAAGCCATGGAGGCCAGTTGAAAAAGAACATGGATGAAAATGACAAAGGATGGGTCAACTGGAAGGTAACTAAAATAGATTAACTCTCACATAATTCAAGGTATTTTTATGTTTAAAGGTCTACATGTTTTACCTAAGTTCTACACAATGCTAATAAATATAAGAGTCAGCAGCTACAAACCCTGCATATCACTGTACCTAAGTTTACCAGTGGAAGAAGCTAAGATCCTTGAGATATAGTCTGTACTTGCTTTCATGAAATCTCACTTGCTATTTTACTGCCAACTTTAAAACATATTTTTTTAAAAAGGAAAAAATTTAAAGATCTGTATGCAGTCTCTACCTAGCAAACTGGCTATACATTATTTATAAGAGTGAAGTCACTCTAAAATTTGGAAATGTACTTGCATTCTCTTTCTTCTAAATCTGTGCTATACCATATGGTGTCCACTTCCACATGTGGCTGCTGAACTCTTGAAATGTGACTGGTCTGAGTTGAGATGTGCTATAAATGTCAAATAGACATTAGTACAAAAAAAAAGAGAGAGAATGTAAAATATCTCCTTAAAATTAAAAAAAAACCAAATTAATTTATTAAAATTAATTTCATCTATTTCTTTTCACTTTTTTTCATGTGGCTATTAGAAGATTTCAAATTATATATGTGGCTCACATTTTTTTTATTGGACTAAACTACTCTCAGTCATTTGCAAAGATTACTAATAGATTGGCTTTAGTACCAGTCCCTAAGGAACCTTAACCCTATTCTACTCAGAGAAGTAGTGGGTTATTCCTACACTTTTTTCCTTTCTCCAAGCCAGTTCTCACTGTGATAGACTTTCCCTGTCTCACTCACTAATCCCATAATGACTGCATTTAATTTATTAATAGTCCATAGTATAAAACATTTTCAAAGGTTTTTTAAGTTTTAAAGTACAATATATTTACCAAGTTTTATGTTCATGCCTATTTTTCTAAGAAATAATGTAATAAGTTAGAATAGGCATACGTTCAGCTATTTTGTGGCTTGTTAAATTTATTATTTCATACCACCAGTTTTCCAGAGAGATGTGAGTTGGCTGGTCTCTAATTATGCACATTCCTCTTGGGGCCCTTATTCAGCATAGGGATCAAGTTTATAATATACCATTTTCCAGAAAAATGGCTGTTTATTAATCAATAAGGTATACATCTTAGGTGAGAGGTCTCCGCTTCATTTTTGATTTCCACAAAAATTATTGAGAAATGCCGTCTGAGCCTGGCGATGGATGCATCTTCCTTTATTCTTCTGGTGCAATTTGCAAAATTCTGACTGCCAACTGTTGTTCAGTCTTGTACCTCTGACCTGACAGTTTTGGTGAAGAAGATTTCAAATGTGTATCTTTGTGGAAGCAGATGCATGGAATTTATTAAATCTGTAAGCCCTTTCCTTTAGATGATTCATGTAGATGGAGAAGGAAGTAATTGGAGAAGGCGTTCTTTGGCTGGAGAACAAAGTGAGCAAATACATGACAAAAATGCATTTGTTTTGTTGGAACAGAGAAAGATAGGTTACTGCTATATTCAGGAAAGAATTACTAAGTTAAGGAGTTTGAATTTTATTCTACAGATAAAGATAAAACGTGATAGTGTTTTCAGAAAATGAGTGCACCATCCGTGCGTGGAAGTAAACTGGAGAGATCTGAGGCTAGAGACAGGGAAATAACGTCAGGAGGCTACTTAAATAATTGAGATGTGAGGTGAAAAGATGTTGGAGTAGTAGATTCTAAATAAATAATACATTGTTATAATATTCTTTCAAACTTCCTTTCATATATTTTTTGGATGGGTTTGTCTAGGGAAAAGAAAATAATCATTTTTAGCCAATTTTCACAAAATCCTATTAATAACATCTTTCCCCTTGTGTTTTAAAGGATATCCACATCAAACCAGAGCACTATAGTGAATTCATACAGAAAGAAGACCTGGTTTATCTTACATCAGATTCACCTAATGTACTAAAGGAATTAGATGAATCAAAGGCCTATGTGATTGGAGGATTAGTAGATCACAACCATCACAAGGTACTATTAAGTTTTTATTTTTGCTTTTGCTCATACTTAAAATTGATATATCAGTTTTCTTGATAGTAATATCAGTTTTCTTGTTAGTAAATACTGATAGTTGATGTTTGAGTGCCTACAGTATTTCAGTCACCTTTCTAGCTAAGCAAAGCATTTTGCATATATTAGTTTGCTTTATCCTCACTGCAACCCAGTGAGGTCAGTGCTATAAAAATTTTAAAAATAGGGCTTCCCTGGTGGCACAGTGGTTGAGAGTCCGCCTGCCAATGCAGGGGACGCGGGTTTGTGCCCTGGTCAGGGAAGATCCCACATGCCGCGGAGCGGCTGGGCCCATGAGCCATGGCCGCTGAGCCTGCGCGTCCGGAGCCTGTGCTCTGCAATGGGAGAGGCCACAACAGTGAGAGGCCTGCGTACCGCAAAAAAAAAAAAAAATTAAAAAAAATTAAAAAAATAAAACATGCAAACTATTGGTTGAGAAGTTTAGCTCTTCTTCCTCCTTCACTCTGTCTTTTTGCTCTTTCAGTCCTGATTAGACCCAGGCTTTAAGGATTTTAATTTTGAGAAGAGAGAAAATTTATATTCAGCATTCTTTTAATTGACAGAAAGGGAAGAATAAAATTTATAGGCAGTTGAACATTTTTTTCAATTCAGGTTTTTATTTAATTTGTGTTTGCCATTTGTGCCTCTTAGTGTTATGTAATTGAAACATAGTTTTATCTTTTAAAGTCATGGGAAGAATGATGATGCTTCTCTAGGAATTCAGTTTGTGTACTTTAAGAGAGAAAGGCAGTGTGGAGTGATGAGACGCTATTTGAGTCAGGAGGCATGAGCCAGGTTTTTCCTTTGGTTCTGCCACTGAGGAACTTTGTGATGGGACAGAGAGCATAATGTCTTTGGTTTCCTCATTTGTAAATTGGTTAAGACAAATGCCAGCAACATTCTAACTATACTTATTGTCAAGAGAATGTTTCCAAATTAGTGGTTAAACGTACACACACACTTTTTCAGATTATATTCTCTGAACTAAGGTCTTTCCTAAAAATTATTTATTCTTTCATAGACTTTAAATAATGTAATGTTCTAGCCCAAGTCACAGTGTCTTTGTTTTAGGGACTCACGTATAAACAAGCATCAGAACATGGAATTGATCATGCACAGCTCCCTCTTGGAAATTTTGTGAAGATGAATAGTAGAAAAGTTTTGGCAATTAATCATGGTAAGCTATAAGGGGATAAACTGAAAATGTACCTGAGTGAACACTGTGAAAAATAACATTACATTTACATTTTGGACAAGTAGAAAATATACACCTTTGGAAAACACACAATTTGGGGTACAAAATTATAAAATGTCATCATTTATGATTTTTTTGAATAATATATGCATACTTTACAAAATTTTGAAAATGTACAAAAGTATAAAGAAAAATAAATAGGTGTAATTTTACTATGCAGAGATACTTTGTAGAAAGTTTTTGGTGTGTTTTCTTCCAGTTCTTTTCCTATGCATATATAATATTATTTATTACATAATTGGATTCTTACTCTATTGCATAAAATGTTATAAATCCAGGGTGTTTCCCCCCTATTTATTATTATATTTATTGAATCACTGTTAGTGGCTATGTAATTTTCCATCATCTAAATACACAATAATGTAACCATTCTCCTGTTGTTATTTTTTTTCTTTTTACTATTGTAAATATCATTGTAAGAGACATCCTCAGACTTAAGTCTTTGCCTGGAGTTTTGCTTTTTAAAAATTTTTCAGTAGAGATTTTTGTTAGTACACATAATTGGGCTTTTAAATTTTCTCTATAGCAGGCTCTAAGGAGTTATAGAAACAAACTTATTGATTCAAGGAATGAACTTCTTCTAAGACTTTTGCTAAATTAGTGGAAAGTACTTTTCTATCATAAAGTAATCCAAATTTCCCCCAGCAGTGTCTTAAAGTGAAAGGACATCGAAGATAGTATTTAAAAAAAAAAAAAAGCAGGCAAGACACTCCCCAGAGTGAGTGGCACTATATAGGAAAGATAGAAGAAATTTAGGTTAACACTAACCCTTTTTTTTTTCTAGTTTTATGTTAGCACATAAAGGATAAAGAAGTGGAAGGAAAAAAGAATAGGAAGGAAACAAAAAAGGTCCTCTGTCTATTATAATTGACAACAGATAATGGTAAACCTCTGAGTGCTTAAGAACTGAAATGAGAAAAAGCTACAAAAGAGGTAGCAGCGTTGAGAGCCTTAGGCATATTGGCTCTGACAGCTAATACAGGAGAAAGAAGTAATAAGAACAAAGTAGTTACTAGGACATACTAGCACTCTTAACACAAAAGCAGTGTGTTTTAAAGCATGCACCATTGTGATGAACTAGGTTTAGAAACACATGGAGTTTGTCTTTGTTGCAGTGTTTGAGATTATTCTGGAATACCTAGAAACAAGAGACTGGCAAGAAGCATTTTTCACTATCTTACCCCAAAGAAAAGGAGCTGTTCCCACAGACAAAGCCTGTGAAAGTTCTTCACATGACAAGAAGTTCACCAGAGTTGAAGGTGGATTGAACAGTGATTCCAGTGAGGAGGAAAATAGAAATGAACTAGATTCACCACATAAGGAAGAAAAGCAGGATAAAGAAAATAGCACTGAATCTACAGTGAACTCTATACTACACTAATGTCATTTTTTTTAAGTTTAAGGAAAATTAGGAGAAAATATAGAATTTCATACAATATTTCATAGAATATTTGAAATGGAAGAAACTTTCATTTTCTCTTATTTCTGTTGTGAATTTTTTAAACTTTCTTTTTTTAGAACTAAGTGATAAAAAGCACTAAAAAAGCATTTTTTTGTTTTTGCATAAGATTTAAATGTGTAATTTAAAAAATAATTTTCTAAGCCTCAAATAAGCATTTCTTGAGAATTTTACCTTATTAGTAAACCTTCATTCTCTTTTATTTACAAGATTGCATTCTTCAGAATGTGCCTTCTGACCTTTCAGTTTTATTATTATATGTTTATATCAATGTCTTTCTGATTTATTGCCTACATATTTATGGAGGCAGCTATTCTGAAACTCCTTTAAGTCCACCAAAATGTTCTGTATGGGTGGTTACCTATTTGCAGCTTTTATATTCAATTTAGTTACTTCAAAGGAATATAGTGATTCTAGGAATAAGTGTTGGATTGAGAAACTCAAGAATTGATTTCTTTTGGAGTACGGAGCCCATCTCTGTTCTTCCTTTGTAATGCCTTTGTGGTTCTAAAGCAATCACTGAAGAGTTAAGACTCTCTTTAATATATTTTCTTAATTTCAATAATGATGGTAAATTATTTCAATTACAAAATTTAATTTTTCAGGCTATATTATTTTAAAAGGCTGTTGAAGGATCAATTTTGTCATTACCCAAATTTAAAAAGAAACAGTTCTTAAAAAGAAAAACAAAAATGTAGCTCTTAGCAGCTATTCTTTTCCTTCCATATGTACTTCTTTACAATAAAATATATTGGTTCTTAAGCAAATAAAGTTAACTTTATATGTGCATCTGTCTACTATCATATAATAATATTCAAGCTAATGTAAATGTATGTTTCTATAAATAATATAAGCATATATGAAAATATGCATGTAATTGTATATACATCTATTTGTCCATATCATGTATGATTCTGTTATTAATCAATGATAATAGGATTGAGTTGCCATATATCTGTTTTATTTGTGTGAATGATTGTGCTGAATATCACTAAGGAATTTAAATTTCATAAAGTGCAAAAATCCATAACTCAACATTTGTATGAGGGCATTGGCAAGGGAAGATGGGGCTCGAAAAAGATATTTTAGTTCCTACCAGTAAATGTAGAGCAATTACGTTTAAAGTGATTATTCTCTGTCACAGCTAAAGTAACATTTCAGAAGCCTTTTCTGAGTTTGCATAATTAAGTTTCTATTCTTTTTACTCATTGGCATCTCAAATTATATATATATATATATATATATATATATATATATATATATATTTGGTAGAAAGTTCATTGAATTTAACATTGATGTTCACTGTCTCTTACATTGCTTTATTCTTAGTGATCTTTATAGTTATCCGTCTAAGGTCTATGAGCAACATATGTAAACAAAGAAAAGCCCCCGCAATGGTAGAAGAACAAAGCTTAATGTCTTAAGTTGTATCTTTCAAAGTTCCAGGTTTTTCTGAGTAAATCTAGTTGGTGGCATGGAACATTATGCCTTTTCCTTAAATTACTCCATATGGAATAAGGCACAGTTTAATATTGAAAGCTGGAGAAAGATCATTACAAGCACTACAAAGTTTAATTTTCACCGATTATAAAAGCCCTGTAATTGTTTCCTAGGGCTGCCGTAACAAACTGTTGCAAACCAGTGGTTTAAAACAACAGAATTTGTTACTCTTTAAAAAAACAAAAACAAAAAAAAAGGACGTGGAAAAATGCTCAAAATCATGAATAATTAGAGACATGCAAATCCAAACAACAAAGAGGCATCACCCATCATGAGTCAGAATGGCCATCAGCAAAAAGTCTACACACAAGAAATGCTGAAGGGGTGGTGGAGAAATGCATACCCTCCTATGCTGTTGGAGAGATGTAAACTGGTAACAGCCACTAAGGAGAACAGAACAGAGGTGCCTTTAAAAAGTAAAAATTCCATATGATCCTGCAGACCCACTACTGGGCCTATAACCTGAGAAGACCAGAATGGAAGAGACACAGGCCCAAACGTCCACTACAGCAAGATTTACAATAGCCAAGATATGGAAGCAACCAAAACGGCCATCAACAGATGAATGGACAAACAAGAAGTGGTACATGTAGCCAATGGAATATTAGCCACGGAAAAGAATGAAAAAATGCTGTTTTCAGCACCATAGATGAGCCTAGAGATAATCATATGTGAAGTAAGAACAAGAATATCCTACGATATCATGTATAGATGTTATCTAAAAATTGATACCAATGAATATATTTCCACAGAGAAAGATACTCACAGACTTAGAAAACAAACTTATCGTTAACCAAAAGGAAAGGCGGGAGGAATGGATAAATTAGGATACGGGGGTTAACATACATATACTAAAATAAAATATATAATCACCAAAGACCACCATATACCAAGTAAGGTCTACTCAACACTCTGTAATAACCTATATGGGAGCAGGATTGAAGATGAATAGATAAACGTATGTGCATAAATGAACCAGATTCTGTACACCTACAACAAACACAACATTGTACTGGAGTTTACTCCGATAGAAAATAAAATTTAAATTAAAAAAACAAGAAGTAATGAGACATAAGCTTTTGGGGGTTTGTCCTGGCACCTTCCACTCTGATTTACAACCTAGGAACATGTCTTCCAAGAAGGCTCTGTTGCCCTAGTAACCAGAGTTGGGGATGTAGATATTGCACCGCCTTGTGGCCATTTCCTGAAACAGCAGCTTTAAACCTAGTGCTAATGGTCACTTAACATTCACAAGGCAGGGCTGTAAATGACACCTGCCCTCCAAAAATGTCCTACAGTCTGAAATTGACAAAAAAAATTCAACACGGGGCAAATTTTCACAAGGTAAAGTTTACTCTTTTTTTAATTAAAAAAAAAGACATGGAAAAATGGTCAACATAATGAATAATTGGAGACATGCATATCCAAACAACAAAGAAGTATCACCTCACACCAGTTAGAATGGCAATCAGCAAAAAGTCGACAAACAATAAATGCTGAAGGGGTTGTGGAGAAATGCATACCCTTTATGCTGTTGGTGGGATGTATACTGGTGACAGCCACTAACGAGAACTGAATGGAGGTGCCATTAAAAGGTAAAACTTGAGCTACCATATGATCTGGCTGACCTGCTACTGGGCCTATCAACCGAGAAGACCAGAATCTAAAAGACACAATCACCCAAATGTCCACTGCAGCAAGATTTACAGTAGCCAAGAAATGGAAGCAACCAAAATGTCAATCGACACGTGAATGGACAGAAGTGGTACATGTACACAATGGAATATTAGCCACAAAAAAAGAATGAAACAGTGCCCTTTGCAGAACCATAGATGAGCCTAGAGATGATCATACTACGTGAAGTCAGAAAGAGAAGGACAAATATCCTATGATGTCATTTATAGGTGTTATCTAAAAACGGATACCAATGAACATATTTCCACAGAGAAAGACACAGACTTAGAAAACAAACTTATGGCTAACCAAATGGAAAGGTGGGAGGAATGGGTCAATTAGCATGTTGGGGTTAACATACATATACTAATACAGATAAAATAAATATATCAAAAAGGACCTACCTCATTGCAAGGGAGGTCTACTCAACCGTCTGTAATAACCTACACGGGAACAGGATCGGTACATGAATAGATATATGTATATGCATAAATGAAGCAGGTTCTGTACACTGAGAACAAACACAACATTGTAATCAAATTTACTCTGATAGAAAATAAAAATTAAATTAAAAAAACAAAGAAGTAATGAGACATAAGCTTTTGGGGGTTTGTCCTGGCACATTCCACTCTAATTTACAACAAAGGAACAGGACTTCCAGGAAGGCTCTGTTGCCCTAGTAACCAGAGTGGGGAATTGAGAAATCCTGCCACCTTGTGGCCGTTTCCCGCAACAGCAGCTTTAAACCTAGTGCTAACGGTCACATAATATTCACAAGGACTGCAGGGCTGTAAATGACACCTGCCCTCAAAAAATGTCCTGCGGTCAGGAATCGACAAGAAAATTCAACACAGGGCAAACTTTCAAGAAGACAATTTCAAGAGGTAAATTCTACTCACACCGTTGTTTTTTTTTTCTTAAAGCACATGAAAAACTGTTCAACATCACTAATTATTAGAGTCAGGCAAATCCAAAATACAAAAAGGTATCACCTCACACCAGTTAGAATGGCCATCAGCAAAATATCTACAAACAAGAAATGCTGAAGGGGTGGTGGAGAAATTGGTACCCTCTTATGCTGCTGGTGGGATGTAAACTGGTAGCAGCCACTAATGAGAACAGAATGGAGGCAGCTTTAAAAGGTAAAAATTGAGCTACCACATGATCCGGCAGTCCAATTGCTGGGTATGTATCTAAAGACCAGAATTCGAAAAGATGCACCCAAACGTGCACTGCAGCAAGATTTACAATAGCCAAGACATGGAAGCAACCAAAATGTCCATTGACCAATGAATGGATAAAGAAAAAGTGGCACATGTCCACAATGGAATATTGTTCAGGCATGAAAAGTATGAAATAATGCCAATTGCAGCAACAAAGATGAACCTAGTTGTAATCATACTAAGTGAAGTAAGTCAGAAAGAAAAAGACAAATATTGTATGATACCACTTATAGGTGGAATCTAAAAAGTAATACCAGTGAACCAATTGACAAAAGAGAAACAATCACAAAAGTAGAAAATAAAATTATGGTTAACAAAGGGGAAAGATGTGGAGAAGGGATAAATTAGGAAGCGGGGATTTACAAATAGAAACTATTACATATAAAATAGATAATCAACAAGGACCTACGTATAACAAGGGAGTTCTACTCAACATTCTGTAATAACCTATATGGGAAAATAATCCGGAGATGAATAGATATATCTATATGTATAAATGAAAAAGATTCTGTACACCTTCGAAACACACAATACACAGCATTGTATATCATGTATACCAAGACTTTAAGCAGATGTACCCTCCCTGTGGGAGGCAGAATAATGTCCCCCCAAAGATCCTAATCTCTGGAACCTATGGTGTTACATGGTAAAGTGGAGTTAAATTGCTAATCATTTGACCTTAAGATAAGATTATCTTGGATAACCTGGATAACAGGCAGGCCCAATGTAATCATAGGGTCCTTAACAGTGGAAGAGGGGGGACGGAAGAGTCAGTATCAGTGATGTGTTATGAGAAAGACTCAACCAGCCACTGCTGGCTTTAAAGATAGAAGGGAGTCATGAGGCAAGGAGTGTGGGTAACCTCTAGAGGTTGGACAGGCAAGGAAACAGATTCTCCCCTAAAGCCTCCAAAAGGAATGCAGCCCTGCCAACACCTTGGTTTTAGCCCAGTGAGATCCATTTTGGACCTCAGTCCCAGAACTGTAAGAAACTTGTATCGGCTTAAGCCACTAAGTTTGTGGTAATTTATTACAGCAGCTATAGGAAGATACTACTTTCTTTTGCCAGCAGGAAGAAATTAACAGTGAAACTCTAGATAACGGTAGAGCCAGAAGATGGAAGGATCCAGGGCCTCTGAATCACCAAGTAAAGTGAAGTCATCTGCAGGTTGAAAACACACACCTTGGACTCTTATGTGAGAAAAACCTCTGCTGTATTTGAATGATGACATTTTTTACAACTGTTTTGTCTCATCCCAATGAGTACAACTCTCTGTGCCTCAGAGAATTTAAACTTATTTTTAAATAAGTTTTCTTATTTAAAAAAAAAAGTGAGGGGCTTCCCTGGTGGCGCAGCAGTTGAGAATGCAGGGGACATGGGTTCGAGACCTGGTCTGGGAAGATCCCATATTCCACGGAGCAACTGGGCCCGTGAGCCACAACTACTGAGCCTGCATGTCTGGAGCCTGTGCTCCGCAACAAGAGAGGCCACGATAGTGAGAGGCCCGCACACCGCGATGAAGAGTGGCCCCCGCTTGACTCAACTGGAGAAAGCCCTTGCACAGAAACGAAGACCCAACACAGCTAAAAATAAATTAATTAATTAATAATAATTAAAAAAAGAAAAAAAAAGTGAGTATAAAAATAATAGCTACCTCAAATAGTTATGGTGAAACTTAAACAAGTTACCATATCTAAAGTGTTTAGAATGATTCCTGACACACAGTAAGTGTAGTATAAGTGTTATCATTAAGAGTGTGTGCATACATATGGTCACCTTATCTCTGATAAAGGAGGCAGGAATGTACAGTGGAGAAAGGACAGCCTCTTCAATAAGTGGTGCTGGGAAAACTGGACAGGTACATGTAAAAGTATGAGATTAGATCACTCCCTAACACCATACACAAAAATAAGCTCAAAATGGATTAAAGACCTAAATGTAAGGCCAGACACTATCAAACTCTTAGAGGAAAACATAGGCAGAACATTCTATGACATAAATCACAGCAAGATCCTTTTTGACCCACCTCCTAGAGAAATGGAAATAAAAACAAAAATAAACAAATGGGACCTAATGAAACTTCAAAGCTTTTGCACAGCAAAGGAAACCATAAACAAGACCAAAAGACAACCCTCAGAATGGGAGAAAATATTTGCAAATGAAGCAACTGACAAAGGATTAATTTACAAGCAGCTCATGCAGCTCAATAAGAAAAAAACAAACAACCCAATCCAAAAATGGGCAGAAGACCTAAATAGACATTTCTCCAAAGAAGATATACAGATTGACAACAAACACATGAAAGAATGCTCAACATCATTAATCATTAGAGAAATGCAAATCAAAACTACAATGAGATATCCTCTCACACCGGTAAGAATGGCCATCATCAAAAAATCTAGAAACAATAAATGCTGGAGAGGGTGTGGAGAAAAGGGAACACTCTTGCACTGCTGGTGGGAATGTGAATTGGTTCAGCCACTATGGAGAACAGTATGGAGGTTCCTTAAAAAACTACAAATAGAACTACCATATGACCCAGCAATCCCACTACTGGGCATATACCCTGAGGAAACCAAAATTCAAAAAGAGTCATGTACCAAAATGTTCATTGCAGCTCTATTTACATGCAGCTACAAAATAGCCCGAAGATGGAAACAACCTAAGTGCCCATCATCGGATGAATGGATAAAGAAGATGTGGCACATATATACAATGGAATATTACTCAGCCATAAAAAGAAACGAAACTGAGCTATTTGTAATGAGGTGGATAGACCTAGAGTCTGTCATACAGAGTGAAGTAAGTCAGAAAGAGAAAGACAAATACCGTATGCTAACACATATATATGGAATTTAAGAAAAAAAAATGTCATGAAGAACCTAGGGGTAAGACAGGAATAGAGACACAGACCTACTGGAGAACAGACTTGAGGATATGAGGAGGGGAAAGGGTAAGCTGTGACAAAGCGAGAGAGAGGCTTGGACATATATACACTACCAAACGTAAGGTAGATAGCTAGTGGGAAGCAGCCGCATAGCACAGGGAGATCAGCTCGGTGCTTTGTGACCGCCTGGAGGGGTGGGATAGGGAGGGTGGGAGGGAGGGAGATGCAAGAGGGAAGAGATATGGGAACATATGTATATGTATAACTGATTCACTTTGTTATAAAGCAGAAACTAACACACCATTGTAAAGCAATTATACCCCAATAAAGATGTTTAAAAAAAAAGAGTGTATGCATAAATGCACACACACAAAAAATTTATAATATCTGTTTTGAATATCAGTGCAAACATTCTAAACAAAAGATTGGGTAAGGAGATGACCATTTTTCCAATAGTCCAACAACATTGAAACACAGTAGATTGCAAAAAGTAGCTCAGATGTTAAAATTCTGTTTGTTTATTGTCGTTGCTTTTTATTTTTTATCAGATTTTGGGGTAGTGTAGAATTGAAATTGCCTAATTCTGATTATGGATGATTTTTCTAGTATCAGAGCCCAATGCTTATGTACTAATATTAATAGTAGCGAGACTAGAAATATAGTATATAAACATATTTCTTTTATACATGGTACTAATTTAACTACAAATAGAAATATTATCTCCCTTAATATTTATTTAGTATCATTATATACAGGTGCTTTGAGATTTACATGTACCAACATATAGAGGAGCTATTGATTCCTCCATACCAAAAACATGTTTTTGATAATTTGATGTTATAACAAAGTGAAACTCACGTTTGTGAAAGACAGCCCAGTCTAGAATTTCTACCTTTGGTGTGTTACAGGATAAAATCTTCTCTGGGGAGAGAGACTGTATCCTTGCTGTATACTCCTTGCTTATGTTGGTTTTGTTGATATGCTCTCTTGAGTTTTAGGCCTGGGAAGAGACTTTGGCTTGCTGAAATATTCTGCAATGGGTATTTTCATCTTATTTCTTCTTATAAACAGTGGAAGCTTGTGCTCAGCCTCTGAAATAGAAAAAGTCTCAATAAGACCATAATTGAGACATCGAATATAGTAGCTTCTGCCACGTTTTAGCAGCAAATCACACACACACACAATCTATATGAAGTTTAGGTGAATCAAATACACCCAAAATTCATAAAATAATTTATTCTCATCTTTCTTAGCACCTGCTCATCTTTAGTGAGTTATCTGTTCTATAACATGCAAGATATGTTCTTTCAATCTTAAAATCAAACACTATTTTGGTAGGAACGATTTAGAGCTGGTGATGAGTAAAGGTGAGGGATAAGGATGGGACCAGTGAGAGAAAGGTGAAGGATATATGGTCCTGACAGACAAAAAAGAAAGTAGACAAGCCGGTTAAAACAACTGTACTCAAAAGACCTTCCCAAGGCCTACACTGTTTACACCTAAACAGAAATAAGGATTTGGGGAGATGCTGAATACCAACAGTAGAGACAAAGAGGTATGATTTGAGGATTTGTATACAAGTATCTAGACAGGGTAAAATATATTTGAGGCCTACAGATAAGACATAAAATTATGTGATAGAAACCATCACTGTCATGATTTTGTGATCATAGGGTGAAGAGTTTGTTAAAAGTCAGATACAACAGACCATCCTTGGAGTGTCAGAGTAAGGAGGTGTTTTCTAATTTCTAAACTAAACTTATTATTGCCTATTAGCAAATAGCATTTCTTTCGGGTTTGATTAATCCCAACAGAAACTGCTGGAGTCTAGAGTGACCTCCGGAAACTAATTGATTGCTAAGTCATTCCTGGTATAAGGGGGACTTGCAGAAATAGGAAGACAGACTTTTGTTTGAGGCTTGTAGACAGGTTTCACAGTTGTTGCCCTATAGCCATTGCTGCTATGTTTGTTTTAAAGCTAGGAGCTGCCAAACCCACAGGGATATTTTGATTCGACTATTCTGGACCAAACTAGGACTTTCCACAATTCTTGATTTTGCTTGGTCCAAATTGAAGGCTGGGGCTGGACTTCTGACGGGGACATAAAACTGCTACTCTCTGTTGTATTTCAGCTGTGTTGTGGGCATATGTTTGTGGCTAATTGTCAAAATTTTATTGTTTTCTCTGGCTGGCTTTGTTTCAGGTGAAAATCATTTAGCCCAATGACAGTTAAGCTGTGAAGAACCAAAACTCTGACTATCACTGTCCTTTTTGTTAGGTCAATGCAGGTTGTCTCCTGGCATGACCAAACTTAAGAGTTCCTGCTGTCCTTCTGTCTTGCTTCTCAAAGAGTGTGATGAGGCACTTTGCCTTTCAAAACAAAGTCAAATATAGGTCAAATTTATCTCATTGAGAAATTCAGCTGATGCTGTCCCTTAAGAGTAGCTGTAAATTGCTATTATATTATACTGCCTTTAAAACCACAGATCCTTAACATCTTTGTCTCTAACTAGCTAGATACTTACTGGTTTCCTTATACCAACTCAGTAATTATCGCAAACTGTACTTAACCTTTCAGTAGTTCCTTATTTCCTTCAGATCCTTGACTTGACACTCTAAATCAATTGGAGAAAGAGAAAATGAAATTCACAGATACAAACAATTATTTCCCATAGACTGCATTATCATCAACAAGCTAAGTATGTATGTTTCTTAAATAAGCTACCCCAATTCTTCATTTTTCAATGCAGACAGCATTAAATGTACTTTCCAATGAAAAATTCTTCTAACTTTGAGTAAACATCTGAACAGTACATCAGCTATTACTCAGTAAGGTAGAGAAACTGACGCTATCTCCCAGTTTCCAATTTTATGGAAACTTCAAGGTGGCGACCGATTAAAATGTAAAATTCTTCTTCTGTCTTAATAATGCTTTTTAAAGTGACATGTTATGTGTTTTGAATATTTATTTTCCCTGAATTTAAGATTTGCCCAACTTTTAATTTTAAAGCAACAAGATATTCTCTCACAGCTTAAATAACATATTACCACATTCTTTCACCATGCTGTTACACATAAATATGTATTTTCTTCTGTCATTGAAATTACAAAGCTTAAGACAAATTTCTACTGAAATAATTCCAAATTCCCTTAATAGTTGTTTTTCCCTCTGGCAGCCCCCAGGCATAAATCAGAGAAAATTAAGTGGAGCAATTTATTTTAATCTTGCATTGTTCTAGACAAAAAAAAAAAGTGATTTAACAAAATACACAATAACAATGCAATTTTGGTTTTCTTTATTGCTTCTGTTTTTAGATAAACTAAAAACCACTGCATTTTCTTAGATTTCTGGGTGGCTACTCTTGCTTTACCCTGAATGGAAAGGGAACTTTTCTCAAAAAGATGGGTTGTTAGGTAAGGAAGACATGGTCTCTGCCAAATGCTCTGAACAACAGGCTTTAGAATGATTTCTCGTATTACGTTTATGAAAATGAAAGAAAACAAACACTCATTGTTGTCATTTACTGAATAAGGAGGATACTTAAAACCTCAGCAATTTTAGTGTTTTGAAAGATAACCAAAAGGGAATTCAGGGCTTCCCTGGTGGCGCAGTGGTTGAGAGTCCGCCTGCCAATGCAGGGGACACGGGTTCGTGCCCCAGTCCGGGAAGATCCCACATGCCGTGGAGCGGCTGGGCCCGTGAGCCATGGCCGCTGAGCCTGCGCGTCCGGAGCCTGTGCTCTGCAACGGGAGAGACCACAGCAGTGAGAGGCCCGCATACCGCAAAACAAACAAACAAACAAACAAAACACAAAAGGGAATTCAAAGTCTTTATGAACCACATGCCCCACAGGTGGCCATTAGGCCTAATTACCTGCTCTGTCGATGTCCTTCCCTAGAACTGGTTAGCACTTCTGATTTTGCTGGTGAATCTAAGGGGGGTTTAACTTTGGGTGGCCTGCCAGTCTCTGCTGCTAGTTCCGCTGAGGCTTTTCTTCTGAGGGGAGTTAACAAGTTTATCTCAGCCAGTTCAGCATGAATCAAAGCTGAGACCCACTCCTTTTCTGATTTAAAAAAAGAGAGGGCCATGAAGGTTGTAATTATCATGTTGGCTGGAAACACAGGATTAGTTCTTTTACTCAGCACTCCAGTGTGAAAGGTAATCTGTTTTCTGGGTAGGCACCTACGTGTGAGTTAAATTTTCTGTAGAAAAGGTGATTCACATCAACCTAATTTCTGTTGACCTGTGATATTGTATAGCTCTCAGAGCACTCACTGGGGTACCTGTCCCTGAGTGGCAGTGGAATACATTTAAAATATTGAGTATAAAACCCAGACTTACAGGCCACTGCCAAATAAAAACAAATAAGGATACCTATAAAAAGTATTAGTACCATGCGATCTCATTAAAATAAAGACTAATAGTTAAATAATAAATAGTTTTAAGCATCTCTACAAAGATATATACCAAAGTAGTACTAAAGTGATGTCCGTGATAATTTTATTATTTTTCCTCTTTTATTATTTTTTTCTGGTTGATTTGTTTTTCACCCCCAAATAAGCACTCAATACTTGTGTAAATTTTTAAAATTTATATTCTTAAAAAGGAAAAAAAAAAGAATAACTAAAAACTCCTTATCCCCAAATACTTCTCAATTGCCTGCCAAGTAATCTTCCTGAGGTAAGGTACTATCTCCAAAGTACTCCCCATTTAAAAACATTAGTCTGTTCCTAACACATTGGTATTTCCTAACATTGATTACTGCAGTGATTTTCAAAGAGTGGTCCCCAGACCAGGCTTATCATGTCACCTGGGAACTTGTTAGAACTGTCAATTCTCAGACTCCACTCACCTCAGTTTTGCCTCAGTCAGTCTGATGACCAGCTAGGTCTGAGGTTAGCTGCTCTATGCTATTTATGGTTATCTCACTTGGGACTGGCATGTGCTTTCATGGAACAGGTCAGAAGAGCCTAAAGGAGGCTGGGAGTTGACTGACTTGATGGTTTTGGTGAGGAATTGGCAGAGCTGTTAGAATCTGGAATTTGGAAGGCTGTGCTACCGCCATCCACATAAAAGGAGGGAAACAGGCTGTATTCAGGGGTCACAGGAGGCCAGAAGATATGCTCAGGGAGAGCCTGGGTGTGCGGACGCAGGATGAAAAGCACAAACCAGCTCTGGACACAAGTGTTTCACATCACCCGAATAAGTTCCGTTTGGGGCATACCAGATTGTGGGTCATTGTATGACCAGCCTGTGTGCAGTTGGATATACAGGACTCTGATACTGAAACATTAGGGAAATAATGTTGCAACCTTGTCTTTGCAAATCCAAGGTAGAAAACTTCAGACACTGGCACATGCCTAGTTTCTGACAATGAACTGAGCTCAGCGTTCACAAATGCTTAATCTCACCTTTGGAACTTGCATGGAGCAGGCGCTGTAGAACTTCTGCCAGAGAATCAGTACGTAGAATGTTACAGATCTTTTCCAGAACCTGACAGAGAACGTTAGAGTTACATAGTGAGCAAGGTTTGTAAGGTTTCCTTTACCTACTCCACAATCTCATCTTCCCAAATGTCACTCTGTACATGATGCTCAAGTCGATGGGGATTTTAGCTTGGGAGCCAGATTTCAAACAGGAAAAAAACATCTTCAGTACAAGTACATTTGACCCTGCAAGGCAGGGTTAGGGGCGCCGACCCTCCAAGCAGTCGAAAATCCAGCTATAACTTAGAGCCAGCCCTCCATACAGGTGGTCCCTCCATATTCGCAGTTCCACATCCACAGATTGAACCAACCACAGATCAGGTAGTACTATCATATTTATTATTGAAAAGAATCCATGTATAAGTGGACCCACACAGTTCGAACTTGTGTTGTTCAAGGGTCAACTGTGATAGTTTAGGTTAGGCGATGCAGTTTTGTTTTGTTTGTTCAGTACTAACATCTTCTGGAGGAGCAATTCACTTTTCTTCTCTTTCGGAATTGATACTTGCCCACTGCAGCATGGGGTTCTTCCAGTCACAGAACTGCCCCATCTGTACTTCTCCTCTCTATAGTGAGTGAATCTAGCTGAATTCATCATTGTTCCTCAGTCCCCTGAACACAGTGATTGGCCCAATAGGATAGGAATACAATTACCGCTAGTCTATCAGAATCCTTCGTTGACTTCTTAATCTGGAGTTAAGGGCTGAGTGTGGATGACAGAGGAGATATATGAAATAATTCTAATAAAAATGGACTATAATAAGGCATTAAAGTCCAAAGTATTAAGCACATGTAGATGTTTCTAGTTTTACCCTAAATTGTGTCTGTTCTTGGAATTTAGACATATCTGAAATCCAAACCTGTCTCCTGAACTTCAGTCCTATATATCCATCTGCCTACCAGACGTATCCACTTAGACATACTGTAGGTATTTTGAACCCCAAATATCTAAAGCTAAACCCAGCTTTCTCTTCATAAAACCTGCTCCAAACTTGCTGTTTCTCCTGGTTCCCCTATCTCAGTGGACACACCAGCATACATTGAACATATGTCCAAGCAAGACCCTGGGATTCATACTGGACAACTCCCTTGTCCTTTTCTACAACATACTACCAACAAGTTCAGTGCATTCTTTCTTCTAAATATTTCTCAAATATCTCTATTTCTCTTTATCCCCACAGCCTTGACCCAGTCTAAACTATCATCAATTCTGCAACTGCAACATCCTTTTTCCTAGGCTTTCTGGCTGAAATCTTTTCTTAAAATACTATTAATTTAACAAATATTTGTGTCTATCATTGATCTAGGTGCTGGAGATATAGAATTTAAAGTAAAGGGCAGAAAAATCCACTGTCCTTTATTGAGCTTTGTTCTATTATTAAGATTCCTGTCCCCAATAATGCCTTATCCTAGAAGAGAACAAGTTAAATTTGCTCCTAATTTCACAATAAATCAGTGTCCATGGCAAAAATAGAAAAATAGCCCTGTGGTATTATATTATTCTCCAGGCCACTCTGCCTCTCATGATTTTGTCATCAATATGGTGATTGCACATCACTCCCAGCTTCTTCTAATTCACAGGTCACTCATTTACAACTTTGAAAGAATATAATTATCATCTTAGTGAGAGAAGATAGAATAAGTCCTCCTAGGAAACTTTCTCTCCATTGAGTTTTATTCTGGAAGCCAGTTAATGTGTTGGTGGGTGAGTTTGATCTGTTGAAATTTGATTTTAGGGTTTGAGTGCAGGTCTAGAGTAGCCCCTACTGTGGGTTAGTATACCCTATTCTTTTTCTAAAGCGTGACCTTTCTGGGGTCTCAACTGCATTTCTGGTGTGTTCAGCAAGGTCTCTCTACTCTAGCAGATCAGCACTCCATCATCTTTAAGCAAAATGCTCCCTCCCATTAGCTCTCTTCTGCCAGGTCTCAGACTCTCATCCTGTGCACATACAGCTTTTATTGGGCTAAAGATTCAGGGAACCCGATACAGATTTCTGGAGCTCATTCTGTCCACAGATCCTTCTTCTTCAGTATCTTAATTTGCGAATTCCAGCCACTTCAGCATCCCCAAACACTAAACTCTGTTTTCTCTACCTAGTGAAGCTCGTACTCTCTGTTTGGGCTCCACTTCTCTGTGCCATGATTAGGAATGTGCCCCAGGAAGAAATCTGGGTTGAATGTGGAAATTATCCCAATTGTTTCACTTCCCTTAATGGTCATAAATCTGTGCTGTCTGGTGTCCAGTGCCTGGAAACAGTTTTTTGTTTGTTTGTTTGTTTCCCAGATATATTGCTGTTTACAGTTGGAGGCTAATGAACCTAATCTATCATTTTGGAAGCAGAGTACCTTGCTGGAAATTTTCTTCCCCCTCCCAAATTAATTCTGCATATTATATCTAGAATGATTTTTATAAAGTACAACTCTGACAATGTAATTCTTGTACTTACAAAGTAATTCAGCCCTTGGGATGAAATCTGGCCACCTCAATATAGCTTATAAAATACTTTATTATCTGGTTTCTGCTTAAGTCTCCAGCCCTGTCTTTTATAAACTTCTCCCTGCACTCTCTGCATCACCCATATCATTGCTTTTAGTTCCTTGAATAGATAGTGCTCTCACATCTTAGCATTTAGATATGAAGCTCTCTTCACTGGGAATGAGCTCTTCCATGCTTTTCTTCATTTTCTAATTATATCTTAAACATTCTTTGGATTCCTTTCTCCTTGAAGACTCTCTTAGCTCCAAATCTACTCCTATATGTCCTGACAACATCTGTACAATTCCTCTTTTTTTTTTTTTGCGGTACGCGGGCCTCTCACTGTTCTTGTGGCCTCTCCCGTTGTGGAGCACAGGCTCCGGACGCGCAGGCTCAGCGGCCATGGCTCACGGGCCCAGCCGCTCTGCGGCATGTGGGATCTTCCCGGACCGGGGCACGAACCCGTGTCCCCTGCATCGGCAGGCGGACTCTCAACCACTGCGCCACCAGGGAAGCCCCCAGCTTTCTTTTGATTCCCATTTGCATGGAATACTTTTTCCATCCCCTCACTTTCAGTCTGTATGTGTCCCTAGGTCTGAAGTGGGTCTCTTGTAGACAACATATATGCGGGTCTTTATTTTGTATCCATTCAGCCAGTCTATATCTTTTGGTGGGAGCATTTAATCTGTTTACATTTAAGGTAATTATCGATATGTATGTTCCTATTACCATTTTCTTAATTGTTTTGGGTTTGTTTTTGTAGGTTTTTTCCTTCTCTTGTGTTTCTTGCCTATAGAAGTTCCTTTAGCATTTGCTGTAAAGCTGGTTTGGTGGTGCTAAATTCTCTTAACTTTTGATTGTCTATAAACGTTTTAATTTCTCCATCAAATCTGAATGAGCTCCTTGCTGGGTAGAGTAATCTTGGTTTTAGCTTTTTCCCTTTGATCACTTTAAATATGTCCTGCCACTCCCTTCTGGCTTGCAGAGTTTCTGCTGAAAGATCAGTTGTTAACCTTATGGGGATTCCCTTGTATGTTATTTGTTGTTTTTCCCTTGCTGCTTTTAATATGTTTTCTTTGTACTTAAGTTTTTATAGTTTGATTAATATGTGTCTTGGTGTGTTTCTCCTTGGATTTATCCTGTATGGGACTCTCTGTGCTTACCAGACTGGACTATTTCCTTTCCCATATTAGGGAAGTTTTCAACTATAATCTCTTCAAATATTTTCTCAGTCCCTTTCTTTTTCTCTTCTTCTTCTGGGACCCGTATAATTCAAATGTTGGTGTGTTTACTGTTTTTCCAGAGGTCTCTAAGACTGTCCTCAATTCTTTTCGTTCTTTTTTCTTTATTCTGCTCTGCAGTAGTTATTTCCACTATTTTATCTTCCAGGTCACTTATCCGTTCTTCTGCCTCAGTTATTCTGCTATTGATTCCTTCTAGAGAATTTTTAATTTCATTTATTGTGTTGTTCATCATTGTTTCTTTGCTCTTTAGTTCTTCTAGTTCCGTGTTAAACATTTCTTATATTTTCTCCATTCTATTTCCAAGATTTTGGATCATCTTTACTATCATTATTCTGAATTCTTTTTCAGGTAGACTGCCTATTTCCTCTTCATTTGTTTGGTCTGGTGGGTTTTTGCCTTGCTCCTTCATCTGCTGTGTGTTTCTCTGTCTTCTCATTTTGCTTAACTTACTGTGTTTAGGGTCTCCTTTTTGCAGGCTGCAGGTTCGTAGTTCCCGTTGTTTCTGGTGTGTGTCCCCAGTGGCTAAGGTTGGTTTAGTGGGTTGTGTAGGCTTCCTGATGGTGGGGACTAGTGCCTGTGTTCTGGTGGATGAGGCTGGATCTTGTGTTTCTGGTGGGCAGGACAGTGTCCAATGGTGTGTTTTGGGGTGTCTGTGGACATGATTTTAGGCAGCCTCTCTGCTAATGGGTGGGATGTGTTCCTGTCTTGCTAGTTGTTTGGCATAGGGTCTCCAGCACTGTAGCTTGCTGGTTGTTGAGTGGAGCTGGGTCTTAGCATTGAGATGGAAATCTCTGGAATAGCTTTCACCAACTGATATTACGTGGAGCGGGGAGGTCTCTGGTGGTCCATTGTCCTGAAGTTGGCTCTCCCACTTCAGAGGCACAGGCCTGATACCCGGCCAGAGCACCAAGACCCTGTCAGTCACACAGCCCAGAAGAAAAGGGAGAAAAAAGGAAAGAAAGAAAGAAAGAGAGAGAGAGAGAGAGAGAGAGAGAGAGAGAGAGAGAATAAATAAAGTTATTAAAATAAAAAATAAAAAAATATTAAAAATAGAAAACGATTAAAAAGTAATTATAAAAAGAAAAAAAAGTAGAAAGAAAGAAGAGAGTAACCAGACCAAAAATCAAATCCACCAATGAAAACAGGTGCTAAAAACTATACTAAAAAAACAAACAAAAAACATGGCCAAACAGAACCCTAGGACAAATGGTAAAAGCAAAGCTATACAGACAATATCACACAAAGAAGCATACACATACACACTCACAAAAAGAGAAAAAGGAAAATAAAAGTGTATATATATATATATATATACCTGTATATTAAAAAAAAGGGAACAGAGCAACCAAATCAATAAACAAATCTACCAATGATAATAAACTCTAAATACTAAACAAAGATAAACTTAAAAGCAGAAACCAGTCAGTCGCATACAGCAAACCCTAAGTCTACAGTTGCTCCCAAAGTCCACTGCATCAATTTGGGATGATTCGTTGTGTATTCAGGTATTCCACAGATGCAGGGTACATCAAGTTGATTGTGGGGATTTAATCCGCTGCACCTGAGGCTGCTGGCAGAGATTTCCCTTTCTCTTCTTTGTTCGCACAGCTCCTGGGGTCCAGCTTTGGATTTGGCCCCACCTCTGCATGTAGGTCACCTGAGGTTGTCTTTTCCCGCTCAGACAGGACGGGGTTATAAAGGAGCAACTGATTCAGAGGCTCTGGCTCACTCAGGCCGGGGGGAGGGAGGGGCACGGAGTGCGGGGCTGGCCTGCGGCGTCAGAGGCTGGCGTGACGTTGCACCAGCGTTAGGCGAGCCGTGCGTTCTCCCGGGGAAGTTGCCCCTGGATCCTGGGACCCTGGCCGTGGCGGGCTGCACAGGCTCCCCAGAAGAGGGGTGTGGATAGTGACCTGTGCTCGCACCCAGGCTTCTTGTTGGTGGCAGCAGCAGCCTTAGCGTCTCATGCCCGTCTCTGGGGTCCGTGCTTTTAGCCGCGGCTCGCACCCGTCTCTGGAGCTCCTTTAAGCAGCGCTCTTAATCCCTCTCCTCGCGCACCAGGAAACAAAGAGGGAAGAAAAAGTCTCTTGCCTCTTCGGCAGGTCCAGACTTTTCCCTGGACTCCCTCCCGGCTAGCCGTGGCGCACTAACCGCCTGCAGGCTGTGTTCACGCTGCCAACCCCAGTCCTCTCCCTCTCCTTCCAACCGAAGCCCGAGCCTCAGCTCCCAGCCCCGCCCGCCCCGGCGGGTGAGCAGACAAGCCTCTCGGCCTGGTGAGTGCCGGTCGGCCCTGTTCCTCTGGGCGGGAGTCTCTCCGCTTTGCCCTCAGCACCCCTGTTACTGCGCTCTCCCCCGCAGCTCCAAAGCCTCCCCGCTTCGCCACCTGCAGTCTCCGCCCGCAAAGGGGCTTCTAGTGTGTGGAAAGCTTTCCACCTTCTCGGCTCCCTCCCACTGGTGCAGGTCCCGTCCCTATCCTTTTGTCTCTGTTTATTCTTTTTTCTTTTGCCCTACCCAGGTACGTGGGGAGCTTCTTACCTTTTGGGAAGTCTGAGGTCTTCTGCCAGCGTTCAGTAGGTGTTCTGTAGGAATTGTTCCACGTGTAGATGTATTTCTGATGTATTTGTGGAGAGGAAGGTGATCTCCGCGTTTTACTCGTCCACCATCTTGAAAGTCTCCCTCCCGAGTGCTTCTTAATTGTTTTCCTGGCTCTGAGAAGAGATGTTTCCTTCATCAGAAGAAGCGCTATGCATTTGATGTTTAAGGGTTCATTAAAAAGGTTGAACCAGCATTCTCTGTCGTTTGCATATCCACATTAGATATTTCACAGATATTGAGAGGTTAGGGTGATAGTTTATTTCTGACTTTTTGTTTAATGAAGGAAAAATTACTGTAGGGTGTGAATAGAGAAAAGGGGGAAAATGAGCGTTGGTGTGCCCTTTTAAAAAAAGTTAGAGAATACCTAAACTTGTCGAAGGAATATATCAGGGTGGTTGGGTGGGTTTTTTGTTTGTTTGAGGGCAAGAGGGGATTCAAGATTGTTTTCAAACTGATGTTGCTACTCCAACTCTACCAATTCCCTCAAAGAGATTTTTATTCCAGTCACAAGGTTAAAGTTCCATGTTCACCACTAGGTGGCAGCAACATGCCATCCACAGACTTGGCTGTGTCCAGGTCAGCTAGAGCATGAAGAGCCAGAATGGAGGCAGCAACTGCTGTGGTCAGTTTCCTAAACTAATAAACCCTTTAGAAGGTAAAACTCAATGAAGACTTATGTATAGCCCTTTCAAAAAGATGCTCTTGATAAATTGGAACATCTGCTTGCACCAGTAGATTGCTTTCACTAGTGGAGTTGACATTCTACCTCTTGGATAAGCAGAATGAACAATTAAAATAATTTCTACAAAACTGTCTTACAGAAATGTGAGCTACCATTGACTCAAGTTATTATTTCAGGTTGACTACATTTAGAAACATGATTCTCAATCCTGGGTGTACCAATGAATTACTTGGGGATTTTTTTTCCCAGGAGGCTTTCCATATATATGGGTAGAATCCACCCTCTGTGATAGCACAATAAATATTTACTGAATGCATGAGTGAATAAAAGAATACATAGGACAGGTAGGGAGTTGATGAGAACAAAGGGTACTGCCAGACTCTTTTGGCTGGACCATGCACTGGCCTGGAGAAAGCACAGCAAAGCTCCCAGCAGTGACAGCCATGGTGCTTCCAGAAAAGTTGCAGTTTGGGTAGTTGCAATAACCCTGAAGGACCTGGACAGTAACAGACCTTGTCAAAAGTCAGTAGATTGAGAGTTTCCCCCAGAGAATACTGAACTTATTAATATCTGGCACTAGGACTCTGTATCCAAGTTGGGAAAAACAGCTCATACGTCTAATCTATGGCTGGTAATCCTAGGGCAAATGTTAGCATCCTAGCCCTAAGATTTTCTAAGTATTTGCTTTCTTTGAAGGCTGATCAGATTGGTCCCTGGCTGGCTGTGGAGCAGAGGAGGGCCACAGGGTGTAGCACAGGGTGACCTCTGCCCAGGATAGTATCTTGCCCCTTGGGGTAAGGCTCAGAGTCCAGGCTGGATATCAGAAGCACCTGAGTAGGTCTGTAAAAATTCTGGAGCTCTGAAATAGTACCTGCAATTTGTTTTAAAAAGCCTTTCCTGGTAGGGTGATGCAGAGTCACGGGTGGAAAAAAAAATCGCTGTGGAGCCAGGCCTCCAGCAAGATCTGCTCTGTAGCCAGAGGGTGCTGACTGTTCCTACAGCACTCAGCTGCCCTGTCCCCTGTTCACACTGGGTTCACACAAGGCCTGATTTCAGTACCTCCACCTTGGCCTGAAATGTTACAGTACTGAAGGCAGACTTGACAGCTCAGCTGCTCGTTTATGATCAGCTGGGCATCCTTTTTTTATTCTCAATAGCTGACATTAATGGAACAATTACGTGTATTCTAACTATCCTATGAGATAGAAACTACTATTATCCTTATTTCACAGATGAAAGAACTGAGTCTTACAGAGAAGTCTTGGATAGACCACAGAGCTTAGAAATGGCAGAATTGTGACCAGAACCCAGTTGTTTGAAACCAAAGCTTCTGTTCAGCCAGACCTCCTCCAGAACACATTTCTGTGAGCTCTGATGGAAAGCCTTGTGGAAGAACCTGACTGATAATTATACACATATATATGTAATATAAACAAAATATCATGAAGCTTGGAAGCAATACTTGTGGAAGTGTAATAACTATTGTATCATTTCTAGATCTAGCGGAAATAGATGCTACCTCCAAGCTGAATTATTGAGAAGAGTTTCGTAGATGGTAAGGCTGTGGGCAGGATTTTTAAAAAGCAACAAACAAGAAGTGGTCTAGTACCCTGGAGTGAGTAAGGGGGCTCGGGGTGTTGGGAGGTGGGAGAGGGAGCATTTACTGGAACCAGGAGAGAGACAGAGCTGCACAGAGAGGGCCCCTGACAGCGGCTGTGGCCTTTGCTACAGGGACCCACAGAGAAGCACCTGGGAAATAAATCCTCAACCCGACTCTTTACCTCTTCTTCTGCCTATGATCCCCCCCCTTGGCCAAAACCCAGCCAGAAGGCAAGAGAGTCCATCAACGTATCCAATTAGTGAGCCTTCCCTGAGGACAGAGCAGGGTAGAGAGGGAAGCTTGGGGAGCAAACAGGTGATACCCAGAAGATCTGTATGAACTTAAAATATGTCTGTAGACATTTGGGTTGAAAAATGAAAAGTATTACACTCCAAAATAATGATCAGCAATCAAAAATAAACAAAATTATCCTAGCAAGTACCTATTACAATGTGCATTTTAATTACATTATCTTCTTCTAACTTTAAAACACCCCTTCAAAGACATGCCTCATTTACTGGGGCTCTGAAAAATGTGGTAACTTGGTCAAAGTATATGGGTAGTACCTGGCCAAGCTCAGTCTCTAACTCCAAAACCTATGATTTCTTTTTTCACTCTAAAACACTGAAAATGAACCAAACTGAGTATGTATAAGCCAATCATTTTATCTAGAAAGACCTAAAAAGATGGGAAGAAAAAATATAGTAAATATTTTTTAGATGAATCATTAAGTTTTTATAATGGATCATTTAAATATAAAAAAATTATGTTGCTTAGTCTTATCTCATTTTTCTCTTTAAAAGGAACTATTCCAACCCCATGGTGCACTTGAAAAAGTTAATAATTTGTTTTTTCTGATGAATAATTTTAGATCCACCTAATTTGTTTTGTTGACTGTCACATCTCTACTGGGGTAGATGGAGAGAGGGAAGAAGCAAAATCTGCATTTATAGAGTGGCTGTGCTTTAGCATGACCTCAGGTTGGGCTTTTTGAACCAGGATTCAAAAAGAAAAAAGAAAAAAAAACAGGGAAGGGAAGAGCCCCTGGGCATTGCTGAAGACTGTCACTTCAGATGCCAAGGAGGCCATCTCCTCTCCTTCTTTCATGTTGGCAGAAATGTGGCCACATCTCTGATTTTCAAGCATATTCTGATATAAAATATTCTGTTTCTCTCTTTCCATAAAGCACTGAAATGTTTCAGAAAATTCGTACATGAGTTTCCAAATTAAGCTTCCAAGATGAGGTCCGAAGTATTAAAGGGAGTGACATCGCCAGCATCAAAAGCAAACCCTTTATTAGACTGTGTTGATTTTTAATTAGGAAAATAACATGCACTATATTTGGGGCATAATTAAACCGTTTATTTTATTTATTTATTTATTTTTTAGATTTTCTTGTACTTTTATTTCCCAAATTGAGCAATTTGATTATGATATCATGGGCATGGATTTCTTTTAGTTTATCTTTTTTTGAGTTCATTCACCTTCTTTAATCTGTAGGTATATGTCTTTCTCCAAACTTGGGAAAATTGTAGCAAGTATTTCTCCAAATATTTTTCAGCACTGTAATTCTTCTTTACTTTTTGGATTCTACTGATAGGACTGTTAGACTGTTTTGCTTCACAGATCCCTGAGATCTGTTCATATTTTTTAAAAAATCTTTTCTCCTCTCTGTTGATTAAATTGAATACTTTTTCTATCAAGTTCTTGATTCTTTTATTCTGTCATCTCTCTGCTATTGAGTCCATTTTACTTCAAGAGTGTTGTGATTGCTCATTTGAGTATATTTATAATGGCTGCTTAAAGTCTCCATCAGATCTCAGCACCTCTATCATCTTGTTATTAGTGTCATCTTGTTACTGGTATCCCAGCCTTTATTTTTTATTTATTTATTTATTTATTTTTTAACATCTTTATTGGGGTATAATTGCTTTACAATGGTGTGTTAGTTTCTGCTTTATAACAAAGTGAATCAGTTATACATATACATATGTTCCCATATCTCTTCCCTCTTGCGTCTCCCTCCCTCCCACCCTCCCTATCCCACCCTAAACCGTTTATTTTTAAGTTAGAAGTTTTTTGTTTTGAAATAATCCAGAGCAAGTTGCAGACTTGTTCTCAGTTTAGTCCTCCCCCACAGGATTATAGCTCAGACTTCATTTAGCCACTAGCTTTTGCATGTTATGCAACCCTGGGTCTTGTCGTCAGTGAGGACTGCCATGTGGCTCCATCGTGTCACATACTGTCCTTCCTTGGACCAGAAAAGGAAATCAGGGCCACAGTTCTGCATGTACCAGGGGAGAATCTCCCTTTGCAGTATGGTACACATACACCTGTGTGTGAAACCAGACTATTTTACTACCTGTTGGACCAAGGGCAGGTTATCTGAAATCTTCGATAGCCAGTTTTTTTAATGCCTTCCTCAAAGCGTCATTGTAAGTTTTCAATTAAAAAAGTCCACGTAAATTGATCATATATTAGTATCTGGCAGGTAGTAGGGTTACTTAAATATTAACTTTTGCCCCTATTTCCAGGGCTTCTCCCTAATATGCCCTAAAATAGCAAGCCATCTGGCATCTATTCCAATGGACTGTGGACCCATTCTGATTAATGGGTGCCCATGCCTTTCAGGTTTGATAAATATTCTGAATATTACATCTGTCCATTATGTTCCTCGTGCAGAATCTATTCAAAGTTATAGTGGCAAGCATTATAAGTTAATATATTATAAATTGGTATCTAGTTTATCAATTCTTCATGGGTGTGATTCATGTGAATCAGCCTTCAGAGTCTAATCAAACTTAGGCATACTAATAAAATCAAGTTCTTGA